TTAGCATCTTTGCTATCGTCTATAATTCTTTATTAAACGTAAACGCATATAGCTGAGGTGTCTCTGCAAGCTGTTTAAAAAGCGTTGTGTGTCTAAGGTATCAACAGATATCCCACCAAATACCTGAGGAAATTACCTCACCAGTATAACGTAAATATGACATAAAGTCTCCGTCTTACCCCTTGAGCTTTCAAGTCTTCCGGTAAATTCCCCTCCACATCCATTCTCCATAGGGGGAGCCTGGAAGGCAACTTGACAAGTTCAGGTTAATGAGTGAGTGAGTTCCATTACACCAGGGCGTGTCTGTTTAATGTGGGAGACACGCCTGTAGTAATGCAGGTCTGACATGTTTACCACTTTGGTGAAACCAGTGAGCACGGGTATGGTATTCACAAAGCTGAAAACCTAATCAGGGCGAATGTGGGATTCGAACCCAAACTCACTGGTTTCTGGCACTTCTAACTCTACACTGTGAACTGCGGAACCTAACACTATGGGCCAACCATGTGTCGTTCATTATATATCAAAATATATTCATTTATCATATATCATATTGCAAAAATAGAGTATATACAGTTTAACACAGTGGCTCCCCCTATCAGTCCGCAGAATGCGTGGTGATCTCTCATGTCATGGGATTAGACGCCATGCGTGTTTAAATAGCACACATTAAGTAATGTATTCCGTTTAGGATTTACACATATCTAAACATGCCTTGTATGTGCTAACAACACGTATTTTACTGTACACATTATTAAGAAACACTGTTTAGAACGGCGCTACAGCAACAAAGGGACATAACTCATAGTCAGGAATAACTGGTCCGGATGTTTGCTGAGCCAGATTGTTGTTGTAAATGTGGTCGGGAGTATTTACCCTCGTCTGATGATGGTGTCCATTCCCCCAGCCCCGCAGCTCAATACAGCGTCAATCGGTCCGCCAGGCTGGAGTATATGCTCTCTTCACAACCTGCCAGGACAGCAGGAGTACTACATAGTTCTCAGAGGTTTACATGTCAAATATTCAGCTTATATTTCGTCCAATTTCGTATCCTAAGGGGAAAACAGGCCAGAGTTCTCCATGAAACCAGAAAGTAATCAACAATAGTGCATACACCCAAAGGGCATGAGCACTTAAGCCAGGTGTTGCTTTAGACGCATCCGATCCTCACGGTCATGAAACGATGTTCTGAAGAAGGTTAACTTCAAACCAACATTAATATAATACAGTAAGCTAAAGGCAGCAATGATAACAGAATATGTGTGGACGTCTAGAGACATGCCACTAGTGTAGGGCCCCTTGTTTATACCTTCCACGTACAGGTGACGCTATTTGTAGGGTTGTCACCTCCGAGCTACCACTACGGCAAAAAGCGTGTATCCCAAAATTACTATAATAATCTACGATGGGGCAGCACAGCCGGTAACCTATCAACCCGCCATATATAATATATGATATACCACAATTTCATGGCAAATATGGATGTGTTACTTGGAGTTGATTATCTGCACTTACGTGTTGCTGGTGATGAGTTGTGGAAGTGCGGTGCGAGGAGTTTAAAGATTGGGTGGTTCTACGCCAGGTGGCGGTGCGACATGATACACATACCTTCCATCAGTGAGTGACACACAGCTGAAAACCACACAAACAATCTTAAACTATTTGGTTTGACATTATTTTCAACCGGTAAAACATATTCACTCTGACAACAATCTCCTTGAGGTTCATTGGTTGAAGATCTACATTTTGATTGAATGTTGAAATTAGGTGCATGAGAATACTGTGAATTGTGTTCATTTGCTGTCTTTCTCCCAAGACAAGGTGTCTTAGAGGTCAATCATCATTTGGAAATCTTTGAATTGGTGAACTACTGGTTAGTTGCTCATGTTTGTATATGCAAGGGATGAATTAAAAATATCTTTGCTGAAAGATAATTCAATATTCAATCCAACTGAATTTATACATTTGGTGGTGGTGTAATTTTGCGTAATGGTTTGAAGTTGTTGTTGACAATGATTTCCTTTGCAATTGGGTCAGATAAATCTATTGATCTAAGACTACACTATACATGGGGTGTTGCAAACCTTTACTTTATTAGACTATACATGGGGGTAGGGCAAACCTGTACTTTATTACACTATACATGGGGGTGGGGCAAACCTGTACTTTATTACTCTATACATGGGGGTGGGGCAAACCTGTACTTTATTACACTATACATGGGGGTGGGGCAAACCTGTACTTTATTACACTATACATGGGGTTAAGGCATACCTGTACTTTATGATGTAGCAGAGACATTTTTCATGTTTTTAATAAGTCAGTTTGGTTTGTTTGAAAAGTACTATTTTATAATAATTTAATATATATGGGGCGTCAACAGATCAGTTCTTGTTTTCACTGTTCCATGAAAATGAACTATCACTATAGTCGTATATGATGGATCAAACTCCAAAGCGGCTGATTGCTGCACAGTGAGGTGGCCAGCTGTTCTCGTAGACTTTACCTGATGTTGGTGCCTGTTGGACGTTTGTTGTGATGTTGACCCAGGATGGATGAATCTTGATAGATATTTGATGAAAAACTTCTTGTAGAGAGGTTCAGGGATCTTGTCTCCACCGATGGAGGATTATAGGATGCTTCTAACATTTAAGTGAAATATTGATAACTGGGTTGCAGAGTTTGTGGGGCCTGGATTTAATTCAACATCGCCCGAAAGAAGTAAAAGTAACAAGCTGCTTATGAAACTAACATGTAAAATTCGTGCTTGATAATTTCTTAAACATTTGCGGATCCATTTACAAATAAAGAAGAACCAATTAAGCAAATTATAGAGAAACTGTCTGAATAAAAGATCTGACTTTTAAAACATGATGCATAAACTGCATTATAGAAAAGACCTATACAAGCTCTGTGTTGCTATGTCAGTCATTATTAATTTCTGAAAATAAATAGTGAAAACCCCAGTCAATAACGGGGATGAGACCACATTGAACTTGGTACTTGAGGAGGCATATTTGGATAGTATGGATGTGGCATGAAAGGCATCTGATTCACATTGAACGGGAACTGACGGTTAGGTCGCGCATATCTCATGGAGAATGTTGTATCATCAGGTTATGAGAAGAAGTTCTGTGCCGGAGGGGCCCGAAGATTCCTGTGACGTATGGTTCGCACTGAGATTTTAAGGATATTGACTCCACTAGTAAGTTGCTTAGCACTTTCACTCCGTTCCTAGACAGGTGGATGCCATCCTGAACGAGCACATCACGTGGCTTGAAGTGCATCATCTCCTCGAAAGTGTCCAAAAACGCACTGTCGTGTGTTTTACAGATCCTTTGTAAGTTTTTGTTTACCTCTTTGGATTTCGAGTTGTGCCACTTCGGGGTTTGGCGAGGAAGTACTGACGAAACGTAGACAGAGACGTCCTTAGTGGCTTTTATTTCTGTTAATATTTCTTCATATTGTTGAACGATCTTTCGCACAGATGTTGATTGGTCGGCAGTGTCATTGCCACCCGCAACAAGAACAATGTTGGACTGGTGCTAAGCCTGTCGACTGAATGGATCGGGTGGATCGAGTCGGTAACTTGGCAGACTGCGTGTCATCCTACCCGGACAGCTTTGACTGATTGATAATCACTGGTTTGTCTGTACAGACAGTCACCAGACAGCTGACATTGATTGTGTTGGGTCGTCAAATACTGGATGCCCACATATTTTCTCACACACAATTTGACAAGTTCTGAAACGTCGCCGCTATGGGAAAATTGCGGTCGCGCGGCAAAGGATCTACCTCTGATTATAAAATTAAGCAGAGACGTAAAACATAAAATTTTGTATCTCAGGATGTAAACGTAACTGCAAATATTAAACTGGCTTGAAAAACAGATACGCGATATTTTGATTTTCTTGTCGGTATCAAACGCTGACATTTCACCAGTTTGTACCGTATCCATAAATTACTGTGCGACAAAAATTAATTCAACTGCAAAATGAAATCTGAGAGCGAACAATATACCGTGTCTTATTTCGGAGGTAGTTTCAGTAATTCTGCTTGATTGTGGGGTATGTTTTACTATATGAGGTATGGGGTATGTTTTACTATAGTAATATGCAAATCTTAAATCCTCAGTAAATCAGCAAGATGGCTATTTCATGTTGATATTTCTATCGAAGAATAAAATTAAACAAAATGGTGAAATGTGAAGAATTGAACTACCTAGGACAATGAGACTATTTCTCAAGTCCGTTGTGATAAATACCCTGAACCTCTAACATTGCGCATAAATTCTCTCACTTGTATGAGTAAGCTGATTGCTCGTTTGCTTTTCTGGCGTCCAGTACGCACTCGGCCGTACGAATAAAGGATATTTATAAAATAGAAGAAGAATGAAGCTATACACACGGAATAATCGCAGATGATGTGACAATAATTCAGAGTTATTTTAACTTATTTCTTGCTTCTCACCAGCGTTTTATAAATTCTGGTAACAGAATCTGATGGTTTCTGTCGGCCGATGGATATCACTATGCCACTTTGCTGTAGTTGCACATTAAAATACATGTAGGCAAAATGAGGCGGATTATCTCTTAGGAAGGGGAAATAACTCCGACTGAGCGTTTTATTGTCCTTGCTGAAAATTTTAAAATTGTGTTTAAATAAATATGATTCTCAGAAAGCTGCTTATGTTCATCTGATGGCCGATAGATATCACCATGCCACTTGGTGAAGGTGCATATAAAAATACATGTAGGCAAAGTGAGGCAGATTATCTCTTGGTAAGGGGAAATAACTCCGATTGAGCGTTTTATTGTCGTTACTGAAAATTTTAAAACTGTGTTTAGGTAAATATGATTCTCAGAAAATTGCTTATGTTCATCTAGAATACACGTACGGAAGCGCGTACAGACGCGTTATGGACGAAGCAAAATTACTGGATAGGGTTGATTCCGTTCTTGCTTGATTTGCACGCGACACTTTTTGATTTGCACACGACACTTCGGCGACCATTGTGCATTTCTCGACAGTCTCGTCTACAACAAGCTGTGCTCGTTGGAATTCTACTCGTGAAACATGCTACCTATAAATGCAGTTTGTGTGCTGAGAGGTCTAGGAATCATGGGAACCATTTTCTTCTCGCAGGCAGTGTGACAATTTTTATTTGTTACCGAGCATTTTATTTGTCTAGAGTTGATATCCGCAATGTCAGCGTTCTCTTGCACGCTATGTGAACTGAAGCAATTACCGCGATATAGCAAGACAGCGCTGGAGACAGTGCGATAGCGCTATAGCGCGATAATTGCCCCGCAAACCTACATCACATAACGTTTTGGGCAAGTTTGCCACCCCTTAATTTAACTGAATCTAAAATTGCTTATGTTCATCTAGAATACACGTACGGAAGCGCGTACAGACGCGTTATGGACGAAGCAAAATTACTGGATAGGGTTGATTCCGTTCTTGCTTGATTTGCACACGACACTTTTTGATTTGCACACGACACACCGGCGACCATTGTGCATTTCTCGACAGTCTCGTCTACAACAAGCGGTGCTCGTTGGAATTCTACTCGTGAAACATGCTACCTATAAATGCAGTTTGTGTGCTGAGAGGTCTAGGAATCATGGGAACCATTTTCTTCTCGCAGGCAGTGTGACAATTTTTATTTGTTACCGAGCATTTTATTTGTCTAGAGTTGATATCCGCAATGTCAGCGTTCTCTTGCACGCTATGTGAACTGAAGCAATTACCGCGATATAGCGAGACAGCGCTGGAGACAGTGCGATAGCGCTATAGCGCGATAATTGCCCCGCAAACCTACATCACATAACGTTTTGGGCAAGTTTGCCACCCCTTAATTTAACTGAATATGATGTTTGAGTTTGTCTGAGGGATGCGATCTAGACTTAAGTCATATTCTTTCAACCAACACTATTGTACTGTACTGCAGTAGGTGGGTAGATCTTTTTCAAATGAGAATATTTGCTCATACCTTACACCCGAGCAGCATCATGGTGCCTACGGTGGGACTCAAAGATGTTACTATGGTTCATGTTGTGTGATGTTTAATTGATATACAGTAATCTATGTTTATGAAAAAAACACACGCGCATGCTTATGGCGAAATGCGTTTTTGGTCTTGTAATTGTTTTAGTGGAAATGCATGTAGCAAACTACTGTTGTGGTTTCACATAAATCTTGTCAACACTGCCATCCAAGTTTCATTAGTTTTGATAATTCAAACAGACAAAATACAATTTTTGGTGTCCATGCACAGTTTATATATATATATATATATATAGTCCCTATATCTTAGGGTCTCTCAGTAGCCGTAATAGTGTTACCCAGTAATTAGTATGATCCCTATTACCTGATTGTGATGGTATGTCTACATTTGATCGATTGTGATGCTATATCTACATTTGATCGAGGTGTATACAGAATGTTACATTTGATGTTCACAGATGATCAGGAGTTATAAGTAATTATTACCTTCTTCCATTCAGTGTTTCATATGACATGTACGCTGTTTTTAGAAATTTTCCTACCATATCTAGAAAAATGGACACAATGTACTCGTGACCTGTGATAACAGAAATAAATCTTTCAATACAACTTTAATTGTGCCCCTGAAAGATTCCATTTGCAAATGTGAACATAAGCTGACCAATCCCATGAGAGACCCTGTTACTAGATATAAGCGGTTGGGCCAAAAACACAGCACCCCAGGGCACCAATACTGTAAGCAAGTACGGTGATCTCTGTTGTAATACTAGAGCAGCTTTAAGTGGCTGAACTAGGACTGACACTTAGGAAACAGCTGAAATTAAAATATACTTCATAATACATACACACAAGCAAGGTATAAGTAATGTTTTATGTCTTTTATTCAGTTACTCACTGCAATCCTCTGCTTATTCCAGTAATTGAAAAGTAGCACATGTTTTGCCATTATTTGAAAAAGGTGACCATTCCATTGTTTTAAATCATAGACCAATATCTCTCATAAGTTGTGTTGGTAAAGTATTTCAGAGAGTAGTCTATAAACATTTGTATAATTGTTTTTATTATGATAATTTATTTTATAATTATCAAGCTTGTTTTCAAAAAGTCATTCAACTGTACATTTTTAATTACTTGAATTGTATAATGAAATATGTCTATCTTTGGTTAGTACGGAAATATTTTGTACGGTGTTTTGGGATGTTTCCAAAGCCTTTGATTGTGTCTGGCATAGGGAGCTTACTGATTTCTTCTACTGAAACAATAGGAGTTGGGTAAGTGGGAAGACCTCGGGGCTAATGTGTAAATTGGAAATGTATGGTTTAAAAGGATGTATGCTCAAGTGGTTATCAAGCTATGTAAGCAATCGTAGTCAATCTGTCTTTGTGAATGGAGCATTATCCGAGCCGGTATATTTGACAGCTGGTGTTCCCCAAGGATCAGTATTTGGTCCATTTTTTGTATTGTTTTCATATATGACATTGCTGATGACATAAATATTTAGCAAGACTGTTTGCTGATGATACATCCCTTGGATTTTCATCACTTGATCATAGACTACTGGAGGCTACTTTAAACACCAACCTACATAAGTTGAGCTCTTGGGGGAAAACGTTTTGGCTGGTTGAAATATAATCCAAATAAAACAGAAGCTATCATTTTTACCCTTAGAAAACAAAGTGATAACATAACTTTATACTTTGAAGGATGTAAAATAAGTAATGTAAATGAACATAAAGACTTAGGTCTAGCGTTTTCGGCATATTAGAAATCGAAAATCCATTAACAAAATAGTAATATCAAGTTGATAAATTCCATGCGTAAACTGAAATTCTTACTAAGTAGGAACATTTTCAATAAGATTTATATTATGTTTATCAGACCACATTTTGAATATGCCTGCGAGGTTTGGGATGGGTGTAATTCTGAACAGTCATTGAGACTAACACAACTACAACTGGAAGCAGCCCGTATTGTTACTGGTTTACCAAACTATACCTCACTTAAATATCTCTAGTTTGAAACTGGGTGGGAAAAATTATCAGTACGTATGGAAAGAAGAAATTAACATTATATTATGAAATGAAATGTTGTAATGCACCTTCTTATCTTATAGATTTACTTCCTCAGACTGTTCGTGACTCTACAACGTATGATCTTAGAAACTGTGAAAATTGTGTAGGTCCATCATGTAGACTTAGACACTCATGTCAATCCTTTATCCCATCAACTACAGTATTCTATTAGAATAGCGAATGTTACCATCAACAGAGACGTTTAAATCCTATTTGAAGAAAACTATTGTCATTTCACCATCATATTTTTCTACAGGTATCTGTCAAGAAAATATTATTCATACTCGTCTAAGATATCATGCAGGTGAACTTAACTATGATCTATTCAATATTGACATTAGGTCAGATTCAAAGTGCGAATGTGGTAATTTATGTCAAAATGTTTATCACTTCATGTTTGAGTGTTTCTTATATAATGAACACGGAACAAAAATGTTTAGCCTTTTAAAATTTACAAGTACATGATGATGCTTTAATGAAATTTAGATTTATTATCAACTGGCAGCAAGAACTTATCATATACCAAAATTATGCTATATTCAAAGCAGTTCAGCATTACATATCAAATAGCAAGCGTTTATCTTGAATGCTGTAAATATTTTCATATGTGAAAGTAACTATCTCTGTAGAATGGTCTCTACACTGTCTGTATTATATTTCTTTCCATATTACATGTATGATGTTGTATATCGATCATGTTGTAAATACTAATGGTTACCTAAGTTGGATAACTTGTTCCTAATCCCGTTCTTCACTGAATAAAATATGTTTAAATCAAAATCACAAGTAAATATCGTTGAGTACATCTTCCAGTTGTTCATATACCTCTGTAACTTCAATCTAGTTTTAAAATTATCGCAGATTGCGTCTGAATTATTTCGATGATAAAATACAGAGACATTAATCCTATGTGGAACTGGCTTTTATGTGTTCCAATGGTCAATACACTGCTATTCTTTATTACTGTGTAGGCCTTTGGTGCTGCTCACAGTTGGTTAAGGAAGGATATTGAGGAACAGAAATATATAGAAACTTATCGAAAATTCTAAACTAAAAAAATGTAGTGCCCTTGGCCGGCAAATTTGGAAAATTGTTGTTTGGCTTAAAAACATGTATTAATTTCCTAAATTCTGAGGTATTTTGACATTGCATTCAATAAATAATGTAAAACCTGGCATAAAGCCTCTTTCTCTATAGTTGTCCTGTTGTGCGTTAAATTGAAGTCCGGTGAAATGACGTTAGTTTACAAAGTTAAATACATCAACCTGTTTTCCCTGTCTAGTAAAGAATATGAAGATAGACATATATACTATTCACACTTTGCTAAGGATCAAATCATGGCTTCAACTGATAACTATTACGTGGGGTCAAATTTGGTTTAAATACCTAAGCTTATTGTAAGCATGGATCCTAGGTTTCAGTATGTCATTGCATCTTGTGGATCCCATACCTGCTATTGACATGTGTTGTTTATTTGTCAATGACTCGTTCGATGATTTGCAAAATGGTTGATTGGTGCCATGAAAACCATTTTTATGGTTACTCGTGTATCAAGTGCATAAGGTTAGCTTAAAGTGACTATTTACCTAATGAGGGATTACTAAATCATTATTTATCCAGTTTTAAATGGATACAATTTCACATTATAAATCTACGTTTAAATAAAGTTGTGAATTTTGTGATCCTTAGCAAAGTGTGAGTAGTACATACTGACTCACTGTATGAAAAGTGCTGACTCACTACTTGGAGATGACATGATTTATAGCAAGTCGCTAGTTGATCTATGTACTAGCTTACAGTAGACTAGTAACAGGTGTTTATAGAATAGTTTCATGTAAGCAAGCCAACATCAGCAGCTGATCATATTCTAAACATTCCTTGTTTTCTCAATAACAATCGGGAGACGGCGCTAACGTGCATCTAGCCATATATTCCCTCGAATCTCCATGGCGTAGAACATTGATCTGGGGAAGTACTTTTAGTTATGAGACAATATTATCAGCTGGGGTTTTTAAGTTCGTGAGCCATACAAATTGTCGAATTTGGAGGTTTCATGATATGCTTACCTCGGGTATCAAATCAAGTCACAATAATGACATCATGAAAGCATCTGAAGCAGGCAGGCTGTGCCATTTGTACATGAAATATACTCAGCAGCCAAAAACACGTCAGTACGAATTCAAAATTAGATAGGCACTGTAATCAAATCATTACAGAAATGGACATAATAAGCAGATCAAAAACATTTTTTGTGTACAATATCTTGACACATCAATGAATAACTCAGCACAATTCCAAGACATTACGTGAACGTTTGCAGTCCATTCAGACTCTTGATTTCAGTATCTAGTGTGACCACTACGAGCGGCAATAACTGCAGCACAGCGTCTATGCATGGAGTGCACCAATCGATTGATGAAGGCCATTGGCACCTTGAACCACACTCTGAGAAAGGCCTGGCGCAATAAATTTGGCTGTATTCGGCCTTGGTATGACATTATTCAGTCTCCTCTGAATTTCATCCCAAAGATGTTCAACTGGGTTTAAATCAGGACTAAGGGCTGGCCACTGCATGATGTTGACACCGTTCTGCTGTAGGAAGTCCCGTGTAGCTCTGTCAGTATGGGCCTGGGCGTTATCATGCTGGAAAATGTTGTTCCGGTGACGTGCGAAATGTGGTATGACGTGGGGTCTGAGAGCTTGGTCGATGTAACGCACCGCTGTGATGCCGCCTCCTCTCCCTGGACCAAGGTTCTGGAACACCACAGGACCCACTCTGTGGTTCAGGCCTATTCCACCCCATACCATGATGCTTGCACCTCCCCATGAGTCTCTTTCCATAACACATTGGTCTGAGCAACGCTGGCCACGTCGTCGCCATATTCTTGTTCTGCCATCTGAAGTTGATACGCAGTACCGACTCTCATCTGTGAACAGAACAGTTCTCCATTGCCTGTATCGCCAGTTTTGGTGTTGTAGGGCAAACTGTAGACGTTCACGCCGATGGTGAGGGGTGAGGATAGGTCCACGGTAAGGTCTACGGCAATGGAGGTTCCCGATGTTAAAACGTCGGTCTTCCGTGTGTTCCCACTGTCTGGCGTGCTGTTTCAGATACCTGCATGAAGGGATTCTGAACATGCTGTCGCAGAACATGGCGGTCTCGTCGTCTTGTGGTCACCCTTGGTCTGCCAGTACGGGGGCGATCATTTGTGGTGTTGGTGGCCCGGAAACGTTGCTGCAGCCTGTACCATCTCCGAGGTCAGGTTACGGTTTTGAGACCATTTCCTGGGTTCCATTCTGAGTTTGGGAAGGAATGTCTTTGCTCAGGTAAAGTTGGAGATGTTGTAAAAAAATATACAATCAAAACATTGAATGAGTTTACAGTTATCCTTTTCTGCGAAGGAAAATTCCAAACTGACGTTTCTTGTGCTGCTTAGTATATATTGTGTACACTGAATATTGTTTGAAATTAATGGAGGGTGGGGGTGTATTTGAGATTCTGCCGTTGTATTTGAATCTAGGGTCCAGCTAAATCTTCAACTCTTAACTTTAATATTTCAAACAGTGACACAAGATAATGACCTTGACCTTTCTATGACCATATTAGCGGAATGCAGACGGCCCGGTGACTGTAACAGGCACCATCAACCGCCTGCCAGAGGGGCTCCATGGCTTCCATGTCCACGAGTTTGGAGACTACACAGATGGTAATTGTTGGGGAGCTTATCGCTTGTTTTGATATAGGTCTGCACATGTTTATGTGGATGTAGTGATTCAGAATATGCTATTTGAAGGTTTCTCTGATCAGCGGAGGAATGTTACCCTGGTTACTGGCTGGCATGTATTTTACTACATCCCCTGTGATAGTTTTGTCACAAAACACCCATCTTTTGGACTTCTAGATAATACAGAGCAGCACAAACAAAGAGTGAATTAAAAACAGACAATTAAGTCAGCAACAAATAAATGAAATAAAACTGACATCATCGCTTTGAATATTAAATTATTGTTTTCAGTAGTTTTTATTTAATATACATCCTTTAACTTGTTTTCCCTATCAAACAATACAGTTCAATTTGTATTGCATTGATAAGTTCTGTGAATTCTCTATATGCCTTTTGTGTTTAGTATGGCAAGTATGTGACTTGTTTTTGCCCTATGAGAAGGCAGCTGATATTGTGACTTGTTGACAGGCTGCAGGAGTGCCGGGTCACACTTCAACCCTTTCGGAAAGACACATGGATCGCCAGAAGATGAAAATAGGTAACTAGGGGACTGCTTGGCAGCATTACTTCTGCAGACAAGAATAGCGGTAGTAGTAAGGGGTGTTTTGGACCACTTCCGCTCATTGCGTTATTTATGGCTAATAAGCTCCCAGCGGTCTCTTACAAATGGCGGGGGATGAGTGGGGACATCCAGCGATGTGCCCTGTATGAAAGAGAATGTTTTTAATTATCATAATAGCTTGTGATTATGTTATGGATGGGGTGTAACATAAACTGTTCGACTAATGAGTAGATTGCTGTCCTAGGATGAAAAAGATAGAAGGGTTGATAATTAGCAAAATATCCCCGGCAGCCACAATCGCATAGTCAGAAAGATCGAAAGATCGATGTTGTGCACCTTCTCCCTAGGGATTGTGCCGGCTACCGTCCTCTCGTCCTGAGAGTGCCTTTTCAGGATCCCCCCTGACATGCTCTTGATATCTTACTAACGAAACAGATTCGAAAGTGTGTAACGTATCCATAGAGTCATCAACGGGATACGTACTCACAATAAGCCGCACCACTCAACCGATTGAGCTACCGGGTACTCATAGCCAAATGTTCGGTTTTACTGGTCTATTCTGAGCTTACATAATTAATGTTCGTAGGTTTCCGTCAGCCAATCAGGTGTGAGCTATAGAACAACTCGGTTTGTTGCAGTCTCAAAATATACTGGGTCAAGCAGTCTCTCAGCTTTCAAAATTTAGCCTGAGTTACAGTGTGAATACTACAGCCACAGGAGGTCTATCCTCCTATAACTGTTTGATTTCTGAATCACACTTTCATGGAATGTGCAGTGAATTAAAAACGAAGCAGCGGGAGGGAGCTCAGTCATGCTGTCTCTATAAATAGTTCCACCTTACCCTTTTAACAGGACTTAGAATACAGTCTTTTCGTGTTCTAATCACTCTGGGAGATAAAACCTTTACAAATTTGTTTCATTTTAGGAATATGAATTGATATCAAGGAAACAGTTTATAGTGAATCTCCTATCATTTCTTTGGTTTTGGTATGGAATGCTTTACGGGCTTGTTCTCTCCCCTGTTCTATGATGTTTTTTCTCTTCGCTGATACCATTGGTTTTGCAAGATTTGTTCGAATCTCTTTTCATTGCGTTGTATTTGGTGAGTTCTGACTCTTGAAACTCTTCTTCGGATATTTAGTATCAGAGAGCGCCGTCGAGATATGATCCTCGATATTATTCAACTTTGCTTCCGCCAGAACGCGAATACTATCCTATTTCAACGCATTCTTTTGCAATCGACATGAAATAAATTTAAGAGCTATTCCTGTTAACCCTGAGACTCCCCACGCTATTTACGTACCTAGCACGACAGGTGCGGTGATGATAGTGGATAATAAACCGACGACAATCACACCAAGCCCGATGCTATATCAATAGTACTGACGGCTTTATGGTATTTTCTATGTAATCTGAGTCGTGAATAATGCTCTTTTTCTAGTTGGTGTTTCATGTCACATATTTGTTGCAAACGAAATCCGTCCATGGTGTACAATTTTTCAGTTACTTCATCTATTGCCGGGTCCAATCCCATATTTATAGTTTATTAAATAGTCTTCAAATGGTTTTCCAACAAACTCTCGGGCGTAAACGTTTGGTTTATTAGATTATATTATTAGGTACAAAAAAATCTTCGTGAGTGTAATTTTTTCATCCAAGATCACAGTGACCCCCTCAAGGCTTGTGAAGGTGGTTGTGTCTCCATATACATAAATTGCGCAAACGTGATATTGATGTTTTAGAGGCCAACGTTTTACTCCTGTCATGATTTCTACATCTCAGCTATCTGGTGATGGTTCCCAAGACATGTACGATACAAGTAACTACCCAAAAGACCACGCTGTACACAGCATGGCAAATAAATAGGTACTGAGGAAAATGAAAGACGAATGTGCTGGGACCCAAATTGTTAAGTACACCGGATTAAGACCTAAAATGTATTCCATGAAAAAAGCCAACTGCGTTGAGATAAGAAAAGCTAAGCTTGCGAAGAAATATGTCATGAAAATAAAACATGAACAAATCAAAGAGGCCCTATTCCATAGACGAACGTTCAAACACGAAATGAAAACTCTGAGAAGTGACAAACATAGTATATATGGTTTGAGGTTGAACAAAGCATCGTTGTCAGCGATGGATACAAAGCGATGGATTGCGAACCACGGTGTAACGACTTATGCATATGGGTATGGTGTATTAAAGGGGAATATAATAAAATAGATAATGGATAAAATTTACTACAGTCTAAGGGGATATTGGAAAAGTATAGGCGCTTTCCGTAAGCTGAAGAGGTTGCTAAGGCTTTGTTGAAGAAACAAACTCTGTTGCAAATCTACTTGCCGGCTCCACGATATATACCAAGGAAACAGTTTGATATTTCGACGCCCAGTAGAGTACATCAGGCCGACCTCTTGTTTCTCCAGCACAATACGGTGAGATGCAAAATGTATAAATGTGCCCCGAACATCGTGGATGTCGCCAATTGATACAAAGAGGCCGAGCCATTACCAGCGAAAGATTCGACTCAAGTGGCTCGTGCACTGGAGCATATCTATAAACAAAGTCCTTGGACATGGCCTACAGAATTACAAGTCGACGCCGTTCATGGGCTCAGTGTCACAGCTGCTAGCAATTCGATTCAGTTCAATTTATTACTCAAAACACCACCAACGGTGGTACATGAGAATGCAATATTACTATACAAAACATAAGGTCAATGGCAGACATGGCATGGTGGAAGCGCATCGTAGTCAAGCTGTTGTCGAGAGATTTAACCGAACATTAGCCGGGTTTCAGTATGGACAGGAGATGGTAACGCCGGATAAACGATCAACGGAATGTGTGTCACGTTTACCTGGAGTTGTGTCAGTGATCAATAACGAGGCGACTAGAGTAATCGATAAAAACAACAACATCCGAGGCCTTTAAAATGAAATCCATGACTGACGAATCGTCAGCGCCACGCAGGAGTAACGAGCAGAAACTTTCAGGTCGGGTTAGCGTGAGGTATTTATGCAAGCCCGGCGAACTCGAAGGAGATAGTGGCAACACGCCACCGACCCAGTTTGGTCCATCAAACTGTACCAAAGGACAGACCAGGCAGGGAATTCGTGCGAGTGGAATTGCCCATCATACACCACGACACAATATTACAACACACACCAACACCAACACCCCCTCCTCACTATTAGATATAAACTAGTGAATGAACAAATAGGTTATCATGTGGAGTTTGATCAAGAAAAGGTTTTTCAATCGCGTCAGAGTGGATGTCAAAGGGCTCAATATTTATTCAGCTCTACTTTGAGTAATTAGTCGAGGTCAGTTCGAGGCCCTGATTAATAGTATAGGCTTGGTGGGTACCGAAGGGTTAGATCTTCTCATGGATGCTTTAGTCGTTTATAGCCTCGAGACAAGCAAATGCCCTGCCCTGTACTCAACCTACTCCTTAGTCGACTTCGAACAGTTTATGTGAGACCCCATCCATAACATAATCACTAGCTATTATGATTATAAAAAATTCCTTCATACGGGTCCCCTCTCATCCCTCGCCATTTTAAGGGACTGCTGGGAGCCATAAATAACGCCATGAACGGAAGTGGTCAAATCATTCCTTACTACTACTAGATTATTGTAACAATGAGTGGGTATATTCTACTTATAGGATAATGGCAAGATTGATCAGCTATGCCATATGACAGAATGGGATGTGGTTTAACGTCCTTGAGTAGTATTGATTGATCAGCTGTGACATATGAAACAATGGGGTGTGGTTTAACAGCGTTGAGTAAAATCGATTGATCAGCTGTGCCATATGAAAGAATGGGATGTGGTTTAACGTCCTTGAGAGTATTGGTTGATCAGCTGTGCCATATGCTTGTTTGATAGTGCTGAATTCTTGTAGTAGTAACAAAACCCAGTTTAGGTCTACCCAGTGTAAGTAAACTTAGGCTCAGTATTATCAAACACGAGACGACCGAGACGAGACGATTTTACCAATCAAACAGCTACTATTTAGGGTTCAGCAGGACGGGGGAATTTTCTCTTGTCGCTGACACTGATCTCCCAAAAACAGAAAATCCATTTGACCTGCAGTATATACCCCCAGAGGTTTCTGATGACATAGTTACTATTCGCTTATATTTCCGCAAGATGACATCCTGGAATATTGACAAAAACGCTTATTCAGCGGCTGTTTACTTACTGTTGTGAATAATGCCATCTCCCATGTGTATCACTCAGAAACGGTCGTGCGGAAAAACATTCGGAATCGTTCGAGTACAAACGTTTTCAAGGTAAACTTTCAAACAGTATGTATGAATGTTAACTTTCGCGATTTGGTAAGCTGTGTTCTGATTGGTCAATTCGAAAGGTTAGCTGACGCAACCTTCTACTAGGGTTTCTTAGATTCAGTATTGCAGTGTAACGAATAATGCTGAGTCTAAGTTTACTTAGACTGAGGTCTACCTGTCCTGTTAAACATTTCAGTCTTAGTGTTAAGATAATCACAAATTCCATCACTCATAGGCCCACAAATTAACAAATTAAAGAAAAGCAACAAATCTATGTTATATTTGTGTTTACACAGACATGCTGGTGACCTTGGCAACGTTGTTGCCAACGCTGATGGAGTAGCAGACATCAATATTGATGACCGGATGATAAGTTTGACAGGCGTCAATTCAATCATTGGCAGATCGATAGTTGTAAGTGAATGTCTGTGTCGTAACTATAGTTGTAAGTGAATGCAGGCGGTGGGGTAGCCCAGTGGCTAAAGCATTCACGACGAAGACCCAGGTTCGATTTCCCACATGATTACAATGTGTGAAGCCCGTTTGTGGTGTCCCCAGCTGTGATATTGCTGGAATATTGCTAAAAGCAGCGTAAAACCCAACTCAGTCAATCAGTAAGTGAATGCCTAAAGTAAAACCTTTGTAGTTGTCTCCCCTAGTTTCCAAGGTCCAATGGAAGAAACGAAGATGTTTTTGTTATTCAATTATCTTTCCTGATGTGATCTGAGCTTCTTCCGCACTAGTCACTAGTAAACCTGCACTGTCTTGTGAGCTGAGAATCTGTTGGAAGTAATCCTAAGAGCCACGTTCGGGTGGGTAGCCACAGATGTTTCAGCACAGATTTTAAGACTGTCTTCCGTTCAAAGTGAGGGGAGACAATGCTTTCAGAATGTTACACAAATAATGCAATATTGTTAACCATATTTTTAAACTTGTACTTGTCCTATCTAACGTTTTGCACTTCTCTCTCTTGCTTCGACACTGAGTGCAACGATAGTAAACGTTTCCTATATGCCTCTCTTGTCTATTCGCCAATGCACTCCTGGCTGCTCCTGCGTTATAGGACAACTACCCTAGTCCTAGTTGAAGCACGCAACACGCAGCACGCTCCACTACCTGCACACGTGACAACCTCTGAGTGATCATTCTCATCATCATCATCATCATCATCATCATCATCATCATCACATCATCATATTTATAACGCGCCAATTCCAGTCCAAAAGTACTTCTCAGTAGCTCTCCCCGAACAACTTAAGAATGAAAAGTTAGACACTGTATGTTTTCTTCAAAAGGTATGTCTTCAGTTTAGATTTGAATATCTTCAGGTTGTTAATTGTCCTTAACTCCAGCGGAAGTTGATTCCAGAGAGTGGGTCCTGCCACCTAAAATGATCGATCCCCAAACCTGGTGCTGGACCTAAAGTGTGGGACATCAAGAAGACCAAAATTTTCAGATCGGACTTTGGTTGGGCTGATATCTGGTGATCAGGTCAGATAGATACTTTGGAGCTAGGTTATTGAGACACTTCTCACTCTTGTCGCACCTCAGGATGGACGTTTATAACCTCTAAGTTATTCCCGTATAACACGATCATGGGAAAATCAGATCCATCTACTAGAAAGCGCAAGTTTTGTGCTCAATGCAAGACGATATTTCCTAACCTGGATCCCCACTCTTCGTGCGCAGACTGTATCGGACAATGTACGTGGGACACTCGTTGTGAAAAGATTTCTTCCCTGTCACAACATGCATATAGACGTGCATGTGATCAACATCTTGCAGATGGTCTAGGAATGCATCTAGGGAACATGGTTCATCTCCGCCGAAGAAATCTAAGATTCAATGACCTACTTTTACTGCTCAAAGGCGATCAAAGACCCTGCCCTCCGAGGCAGAAGATTAATGGGCACCTCTCTGGATTCCTACCTTTCGGGGGATATTCGGAAGCTCTAAGGGACACATCTTTCCCCTACGCAGTCGTCTTCCGTACCATCTAGAATTGTGGTTGTGGGACGATCTCCCACTCCTACGATCTCTACGATACCTCAAGACATCTTGTCTCTTCTGTCGACCTCACGTGGTGAGCCTGGCCAGTCGCATTCAGTGCTGCTGTCCCCAACCGATTCATCAAATCAGATAGAGTTGGCCATTACAGATCACCTCGCCGATCCATGTCTCATGTCTCCGATCCCGTTCTCCTAACCGAACTAGTTCGCATTATCATTCCTGTTAAAAAAAGCAATCTACCTCGCCCCAGCAAGTCGATTTACACCTCTGATCATGATCTCCTCGTCGATCTACGTCTCTGTGCCGAATCAATTCACCAGTCCGAGTTGAATATATTTGTCAATCCCATTCACCAGGATGAACCGATTCACATGATCGAATGATTTCTCTAGCCTGTACTGATTCGCGTGATCGTTCCAGTTCCTCAGGCTAGACTGATTCATGTCAAACAAGGTCACCAAGCTGAATCAATTCACCCAGCCAAATGGATTCACCAGGCCGAACTGATTCACCACACCAAACCGATTCAAAACAACAAACCGATTCACGACCCGATTCACCATGCCGATCCGAGTCACTTCATTGAACCAGTTCACCACGTCACAGGGCCAAATCAACTCACCACCCTGAACTGTATCACAACACCGAGTGATATCCCCAATCCGACCTGGATGTCATCGCCATACAAGCTGAACTAACCGAGTTAGATTGCCTCACCGAAGCGATTCACCTGGGCGTACTGACTCTATGGATCGTTCCAGATCTCATCACCGATCTGATTCTTCGAACCCCTCTAAATCATCTGGCTGTTCTTGTGACGGTTTCCCGTCATTGGCGTTCTGGTTCACCGCACAGATCTAGTTCATCTCACCGTTCCAGATCTTCAGATCATGTTGGTACATCCTGTTTATCCAAGTCTATTACTAGACAACTAGACGCCTATTGCCTGTTTGTCTTTGAGACGTGTAGCATCGTCTAACTTGGCATCAACTAACTCTACGACTCAGCCTCCAAGATCTCAATCATTGCCTGAGTCTTGGGACCCGAATCAGGATACTACGCTGACACCTGACTTACAAACAATGCTTCGTGCTATTACTGATGTTTGGAATCAGTGTCGCAACCAGTTCTCTCAGCAACCACTAGCTGTCCATCAGATTCGTCCCTTGGGGTCGTTTCTTCTCATCCTTTAGGCTTAAAATCTCCGAATTGTTCTGATGTTTCTACCCCTGAGGGTAGTTTTGACTTAGTTGAATCATCTCATGTGCTTCCATGGATCATTGAGAAGTTGAATCTAGCTAAGAGCAAGTCTCCGGATGATTTACAGAACTCCTATAATATGAGGGGGTAGGGATTTGACCACCATTACTTTGCCTCCTCGTCCATGCATTTCACATCTCACTACACTGGATCACGCTTTTAAGAGTTTGAACAGAACTAGGGATAGTCTTTCTTCTCTTAGATATAATCCGTCAGCCGCTCACGCTCCCCCGGTTGATGAAGATATAACAACACAATTCTCCCTTCCTGATTGAAGATAGGGAGTTAACCCATATGGACACTGCAATGCACCACACTTTACCATCCCTCAACTGTGTCATCACCGTGGTGGATGCTGTCACCGCCGCTTTGGAGCATGCTTATTCAGATCAGGATGCCTACATTAGAGGATTGTATGACTCTCATACTTGATCAATTCCAGATAATCTTGGACCAATTATCTCACTTTTCTGGATATACTTCCATTGTCATGGACCACTTAACCTGTCACCTTAGGATGAACGGTTTAAGGCCGAGTTCGGCAACCTTCGTCGTCTGACTCTCTGTTCAATGGCATCATAGTAAAGTGGACCACGAAACACACTTTCAAGTTTCAGTCGAGATCCTGGAACTGCAAAGAACTCAAGTACAGGACTCAATGATACAACAACAGACACATCGGTTCACCCCATCAGATCCTGAGCTGAGGGGCACTTTTCGGGACCGCCCAGCCAGTTGATGGGGTCAGAAGTCAAACTGAAGTGGTATTTCCCGATGCCTTCCTAAGGCTTACCCAGTTCAGTGGACGTGTGCCGGGAAACAGTGACTCAGGGACATATTCTCCCGACGGGGAACTCCCGCTTCATGATTTACGACTCTCCATCAGGCAGACTCGGGTTATTCGCGCTGAACTGGAACGTCCTCAACGATCCATATGTCACCGTGATCCTGAATCACGGCTATCAGATGCCCATCATCGGAAATCCATCTTTGATGATGGAACCCTAAGAGCAGCCCACCTACCCGCCTGACCAGCTCCCGACTCTGTGAGCCACTATAGGTACGCTTCTGCAGAAACCTCTCGGTCCTTCATCCATCACTCCAGGCTTCTATTCCCCAATATTTCTAGTACCAAAGAAAATTTGCAACCAAATTCAGCTGATTTTCAATATGAAGCTGTTCAACGCCCAATACCTGCATCCACCACCTCAGTTCAGGATAGTGTTCACGCCCAAATCCATCTAGAGCATCGGAAGTATCTCCACTTCATATTTGAATGGATCCAGTATCAGTGACGAGTCCTGCCATTTGGAATGTCCATGTTTACCCATAATACCAAGCAGATCACAAGTTTCCTTACTCTTTCCACATTCGGGAGGTATATAGACGATTGCATTCAGGCTCACCAGGATTCGATTGTCCTACTTTGTCATCTGCAGTCCACCACCAGCCTGCTCCGGCAGTTGGGGTGGCTGCTCAATGTTGTGAAGTCGAGTTAATACCGACCCAGAGACTCCAATTCATAGAGGCAACATTCGAAAGCCCCGCCTGCTGATGATGTTCGTCCCGCAAGACAGGTGGGCCAAGATAATGCAGCATTCAGTTGGCATTGTCTCGGGCAAGAACTCTTTGTCAGTGGTAAGAGTTACTGAGTCTTCTGACATCAGCTCTGGCCCTCATGTACAGAGGCCAACTCTTGCTTCGGCCAATACAGCGCTTACTACGGCCGTATCTTCAGGCCGACAGCCCCGGGGAATTGATTTGTCTTCCCGAACCACTTCATCCAGTCTTGAATGGTCGCTAGACGAACAGAACATTTGCACCGGAGTCTTTAAGCTGCCCTTCACACCAGTCTAAGTAAACGTAGGCTCAGTATTATTCGTTGCACTGCCATACTGAGTTTAACAATCCCCAATTAGAAGGTCGCGTCAGCTAGCCTTTGAGCGACCTATGACCGTCCAATCAAACGCCAGACAGCCGAACGGATTTAACCAATCAGGCAACGGCTACTATTTTAGGGTTTGCGGGACTTCTTACACACCCGTGGGTGAGAAACCCATGTGAGAAAACTGGTATCACACATATGTGTGAGATCGATTTCTAATCCCGTGATTGGCTACTCCATGGAGATGACCTAGGGTCAGTTTGTGACGGACTTCTTTCCTGATTAATATATGTCACATCGAGTTGCATTTTTAGAATTGGAAATGATTAGTTTTTATACTTGCATTCTGTGATACGTTGCTAACGTTTTACTGTCCTTCGTGACATATATTTATCATATATACTAACTTTGTTCTCGTCACTATATGGCTGAAATATTGCCGGCGTGACGTTAAATTTTAACTCACTCACTCACTCATTGATAAGTTACTTGGGTTTCAATCGAACAGAAACCTGTTACTCGTGCAAACAAATACCCCTTTATACCTACCTGTTATTTTCACGATTGTAACATAAACAGGTATGTATACAATGAAACAAAATTAGAATAAATATAACACGAATCTATATATTTTCTAATTCCTTTTATTAACACTTTAGATTTCCAGTCATGAATTCAAAATGGCTCGAACAATTAGTGATACCTGTGTAAACAATTATGTGAAAATCGCCGTTAGAAATTAAGACCGGGATTCCCTTCGAATATTCAAAATGTACAACATTGGTACTTTTACTTGAGAGATGAGACAAGTATCATGTATCGTCTTGCAAAAATACCTGTCACGATAACGTCAGTGCCTGTCCATTGTGAGATCGATTTGCCTCGTTGTTTCTTTGATGCATTGATGAAGATGACATTTTTCACTGATACAGTATGATGAAGACCCACTTCCAACTTCGAGCTACTATGTGATTCCAATGTTATCAAATTCACTCATGACAATCAGAACAAAAACACACTCGTTGAAACAATGTATCAACATTGAACGTTTTGCTAGGCTTCATGAGTGCAAATGTCGGCACACGTCCTCTCTATTCAATCGAACATGTACAGGAACGGTTGATCTACACAGTCATTGATATTCCCCCTTCGCATGATAATGCAAAGTTTATGTCTTGATAACATACAGGATGTAATCAACTCACATGTCATACTGACAACTCCGTAAATTCCGTTACATTCCAAGTGGCAGTTTCTGGCTCGGGAAAACGAGAAGGATGTGGCGAAGAAGAGTAGTCCACCATTGATAGTGAACGTAACCTCAGCAATGTCACATTCAAGCACATTGGATGCACCTAATTACACACACTCAATAGTTTTGACTCCGGTCGATGGGAGAACATTGAACAGAAACTGGTACACAAGTACAGATCCCCAATGTGCAGAGATATCCGAAACAATCTTCCGATGACGACAACCACCAAGCGATAACGATGACGTCACATGCTCAAATATCTTTTGCTTGCAAGAATTAAAATCATCCACATTTGCACGGTACCATCATCGTTTTAGAGTGTTTAATTGATTTTCTGTGATGTTATCTAGTTTTCTTTATCACTATTGCCTTTATGATGCGAAGAGGTGGCAGAAACTTTTTTGTGGAGGGTCACCATGGGGATGAGTAGTGATTAGGAAGCCAAGTCACTCATTCATAAACGTTGTGTTGTGTATTATTGCGCAGCTACGATGAGAAAATATGAAATTTGAATCAATTCGACCATAAAATGGTGCGATTGTATGGTATGTAAGAAACAGATTACTGTACTCGTGTCTGTCAGATACCATTTATCTTACAACTCGTTGTAAGATAAATGGTATCTGACAGACACTCGTTTAGTAATCTCTATTTGCAAAACGGTTTTTGGATTTTCTTTTCCTTGTCGCTGACACTGATCTCTCAACAAACAGAAATCCGCATGAAACACAGATATTTGACCTGAAGTATATACGCTTAGGGGTTTCTAATGACATGGTTACTATTAGCTTATGTTTCCGCAAGATGACATCCTTAAATTTTGACAAAAACGCTATTTTCAGCGATTGTTTGCTCATTGAGTCCTCCATGTGTATCACTCGGAATCGTTCGAGATTTGAGGTCAAGGTTGAAACGGTATGTGCGAATGTTAACTTTCGCAATATGGTAAGCTGTGTTCTGATGGGTCAGTCCGAAAGGTTAGCTGACGCGACCTTCTACTAGGGTTTGTTAGACTCCGTATAGCAGTGTAACGATTATCCTGAGCCAAATTTTACTTAGACTGCCCTTCACACCGACTCATCATCTGTTCGTCGATATTTCTCAAGGGTTGAGACGCTCACTTTCTCGACCGCCAAGTGGCCGGGCTGTGGTCTTGCAATGGACAGACTCTTCACATCAACGAACTGGAATTCAAAGCAGTGATCTTGGCCATCTGACATTGGGCAACATAGTTACGAGCAGCCAGTCCACTGATCCATTCAGAAAACTCGACCATGGTTTGGTACATAGACGGATTGGCGAATCTACTGCAATGGACGATTTGATTCTTTCATCTCATCGATTCACTCGGCATTGTCGCCAGAGCCAGAGCCAGAGCCAGACACATTCCCAGAGTAAAGAATGTGATGCCCTGTACCGTTCCAACTGCCGATCTCCGGCAGAATGGAAACCGCTTCCTCAAGTATTCCAGTTGATCATTCACTCGTTATCACAGCTCCAAGTAGACCTGTTTGCCACCAGATTCAACAACCAGCTTCTGAAGTTCGTCTCTCCCAATCCCAGATCCCCTTGCATGGGATCTCAATGCACTGGCAATACCTTGGGAGGGTCTCAACGCATACACGTTCCTCCCTCCAGCTCTACTACCCAAGGTAATTTAGAAGTTGTCAGTGACCAGCAAAATTTGTCTGCTTTTGGTCGCGCCTTCTGGCCGGTGAGCAGTTGGTTCGTAAACCTCAGAAGCCTGGTAGAGCCAAGCCCAGTACTGCTTCCCTGCTTACCTGCTTCTTCACCCTCACTCAGACCTGCGCCATGGGTCCCTTCAGGCCCTCATCTGCAATTTTGGCACATCTCAAGAGTTCACTTAAAGCTAAGGGCTATTCTCGGCGAGTAGCTTCAGCTAATCACTTTGGCTCATCGTACGTTGACTCATTCATTTACCATGCTAAGTGGAAGAGGTTTGAAGGTTGTTTTAAGGCGAGGGGCATTCCATCGCCCACCTCTGCCTCCGCCCATGCCGTTGCTGAGTTTCTGTAACACCTGCGGGCTACCAAGAAGCTCAAGGGTACTACTTTAGCCACCTATTTGGCAGCTATCAATTCGGTTCTGGCTACTACTACAGGAACTAAGATCTCCACTGTTCCTGAGCTCCAGTACCTGTTACGTTCTTAAAGACTCATGGACCAGTCCAGGAAGTTTAGACCTCCGGTCTGGGACCTCTCTGTTGTCTTTCGTTCTCTGGTCTCTGCTGATTATGAGTCTCTGGAGGACAAGGACCTGCCAGGGCAACCACACCGAATGTTTTCCTTTCCAGGTTGTCCCCTATACTTGGGCCTGATGACACTGAGGACTTGTCACTCTGCCCTGTAAGTGTTCATTATACGCGCTCACTAACCTCTACTCTAAGTAGTAATTTTGTCAATACAATGTGTCATTCCCGGATTCAAATGGATTTCGTTGCGTGCTGGCTGTTAAGTGCCCAGCACGTCCTTTGACTAAGCTTTAGTGAGGAGTAAAAGTCAATAATGTTGCTTCGGTTCTGAACTTTAAACCTGTGAGGTTTTCCGATTCAGTTTTCCTCTCAGCCTCCTCGTGATAGTGTTTGTTGGGACTGTTTCAAAGCAAGGACTCGCCCGGTTATTGGTCGAGGGACCATAATTATGGGGGTACCTTGTAATCACGGCGAAGCGAGATTACTTGTTAAGTGACATCATTTCGTCTTAGTGCAAAGGTTGCGGCTGAACACCACATCGCTCGGGAGCACCCATCTCCCTGGAAGTCCTTGTGCTTAGTAAGCGAAGGGATTCAGAAGAACTCATGAGCGCGGGAGTTGCGTGTGATAACAGGCCTCCCTTGTGCATTGCTATCTACGGTTGTCTTCAGTCTACACAGTTCTCTGTTTAGATTGTCTGCACACAGGGTAATCTGCATCCTACCGTCCAACCATGTGATAAGTGCAAATTGTGGACAGGATAATGTTAATTTTTTTTTTACATTTTAACTATAAAATATATATAAATATACCTATCATATCTCACTACTCCGATTACAATGTTGGACCCAAGAACGAGAATGATCACTCGGAGGTAGTCATGTGGGCAGGTAGTGGAGCGTGCTACATGCTACAACTGGGCCTAGGGTAGTTGTCCTATAAGGAGAGCAGCCAGGAGTGCATGGGCGAATGGACAAGAGAGGTCTATGGGAAAAGTTTACTTTCGTTCCACTCAGTGCCGAAGCAAGAAAGAGAAGTGCAAATCGTGAGATAGGATAAGTATATAAATACAATTTATAATTAAAATTTTCTAGTGTAGGTACAAGTTCACGCTCCAGCCTTATAAATATCATGAATATTGGTCAGCTACAAAAAGTAAAGTGTCCCTGTTCCTAAAAAGACATAACCTTTCACTTGCTGAATTAAGCATTGAGGGGACTGTTTCAGTTAACTTTCAGTTATGTGGGACTTGTAGCAAAACTTCTCAAGGTGTTTTCTGCGAACCATTTTATGTTTGTACGAAGTGTTGTGACATCTACCCACTCCAATGTTTCCACAACCTCTTCTCAACAATTGTCAAGTGAGAGATTAAAGAATAACTAAACACATATAATAGTAATTCACAGGACGTTTCTGAGATCGACTATTTCTATCATTTGTTTTGTTTTTATGTGCAGGACAAGTTAACCTGACCATTAAAATGTACGTTTCTGTTTGGAACATGATGCACACTCCATGATGAGCACACTGGTGTGATGTGTGCATTTGCCTGACGTTATATGTTTATTTGACACTTCCCTCTGCAGGTCCACGCTAAACCAGATGACCTGGGTAAGGGAGGCAACGAAGAAAGTTTGAAGACAGGGAATGCTGGCGTTCGACTGGCCTGCTGTGTGATTGGTATTGCCAATTGACTTTAAGTTGCTATCTGCTATACCGTCACATCCAACTGGAGCCGTCATCACCACGTGGTGTCTTACCCCTAGCATAGTCGGAATGTGTTGAACTAAATCATGTAAGTTATTACACATCGGACGTAAAGTCGCACAAGTTCAGATTTGTTACTGTTAAAACATACATCCGTCGTATGTTTTAGGAAATTTTATAGAAAAATACGACCAACAAACCATGTTCTAAATCGTTATTTGGAGCTTTTCGTTTTGTTCAGGATGACTTAATATTTTTGTTGTGAATATTTATATGCTCTAGGTCGGACACAATTATTTTCATTCCAAGAATGTATGTATGCAGATTGGTTATATATCCTTGAGCTAGTTAAAGGAGTTGCTGTTAAATGTAAATCCATGATAGAATTCCATCTTGTGGAACGTTGCACAGTTTGTGGTGCGGTAATTACTGTCTCTAATCAAACAGAATAAATCCTACTGTTGTATACTTGTGTGTTTTGTTTGTACTACGTGAGCGAATCCCACAGACAAGATCTGTGTAACTCAACGAGCGAGTCGAGGTGTTTTATTTGTACTACGTGAGCGAATGACACAGACAAGATTTGTGTAACTCAACGAGCGAGTGGAGGTTTTTGGTTTGACCCCTAAGGGATAGCGGACAGCAGAATTGTAGTAAACATGAACCCATATATACGGCAGATAAACTGATCTCATATATAAGCCGAGGTATATACAAACTCTTCTTGAACCCTTGTGCTCTCTGTATGACAAGTGATCCATGTTGTTGGGTGAAGCAAAGGTTACATTTTTTTTACATGATCCAGTGTTACACCTCCTTTTTCTCAATGTCTCAAGTTGAGGACTGAAGAAAAAAACAATGTCTTATATGTGCCTTGGGTTATTGTTCATGTGCTGTATCAATCTGGGGGCACCTGCAACATTGGTATGATGCCAGCCAATGTAAAGGGAGACCGGACCAGCCTGACATATTTTTAGCAGCCTGGACAAAATGAAAAAGTGGGATTCAGTATTGTGACCAGTATTTGTTGAGTCCATAAATGCCGAGTACTATCTTTTGGTATGGTGTCGGCAGGGATGGAGCCAACAACCTTCTTCTCTCCAAGCAGACGCTGAACAAAAGTTGTAATGTTAACCACATTATGTTAAACTAACATTGGAATGTGAATTATGCCATAGTTGTAATACATGTGCCCTTCTTGCTTCTCGTCCAGCCTACATACAACCACCTGCCACCTACCCATGTAGCACAGCAGGTGTAACCAATACTCTTATTCTTTTAATTTCTGCTGTATTGAACAAATACTGGAGATTTTCCACGTCCGTTTGAACAAAATAACACACCTCTTCCTTTTAGGTACAAGTCTTCTCAGATTTAGACCGATTGGTTTAATATTGAATCTGAGAAATGAAGTCAGAATGACCTTTTCTGCCTTTCTGAATTCCTTTGCTGTATACATGTAATATAGGGTTACTTCCTCTTCCTCCTGTTGCAAAAATAATAAAAACAAAACCCAAATAATGGCTTCATGAGTTTAATATCAATATACACAGAGTAGGGATATGTTCCATGGTGAGTGAGTGAGATGGGTTTAAACATCATTCAGTAATATCCCGGACTGATATCTGAGGAAAGGCGTGTACCACCTCGGTGAAACCCACGGACTTTGCCGCAACCTTAGTATGGCGAGGATTCTCGTGTGTTTTGGAGCTGGTGTGTGTGTGTGTGTGTGTGTGTGTGTGTGTGTGTGTGTGTGTGTGTGTGTGTGTGTGTGTGTTTGTGTGTGTTTGTTAAAGGTAGAAACCGGGGACATTGGTATCTATACACACCCTTCAATCGGGGACACACACGGAACCGGGTGAGATACTGAGATCCGCGACCCTTTCAAGGCTAGAAAATGTATTTTTAGTTGAAACTGTATCTTGTCCCGGTTGCATGTAAAGTTTCACAAGCGCCTACACACACGCTTCGTGAATAGCATTGGTCGAACACGTGTCCCCGCTTGGACTCGCTGACATGAAGGAAGATCAGTTTCTGCTCAGTCAAGGTAAATTATTTGTAGATGTAGTTTTTGTAGTGTAAGTGTGACAGGAATTCATTAAATAAGTCGAGTACTATGTTTTTCGGGTTTTTTTCTTGCCTGTACTAATGACAATTTTCAACAGATATATGTATTGAATTAGGCTATTACATCGTATTATCACATTGTATTTACATCTTCTTGACAATCAACAACACATTATTAAAAATGATTGTAGGCTACAATATCAAGTAATACGTTCAGGTTCAGTTTAATTTAGTCCCTTGTTTTTAGTGCAGTATGGAAGACTTGCGACTTCAGGCAGTGTTGTAATTTGATACGCTGCGACGTGCCAACTTTGATAACTTGCTGGCGGAAAATTACTCGCTGATAAAGAAATGTGTCAAGTAGTTTAAAGAAGATATACCATTATAATTGAACATGTTCAGTCGTAATTTTCAGTCGTTTGTTGCTAGGCTACATATCAACGTCAAACAAGTAAGTTTAACAGCAAGAGAAAATACATGCAGTTGCTTGATAATCTCAGCACATAATATGATTGTGCTCCTCATTTTGGAAGGTACTGTAAAATATATGTATTCATAGGTTATATCCCAAATATCTACACATATTTACCCCGGACGTGATTGTATCGCCATGCATTTACACTGCTCAGTGAAAGTCAGCTTTGATCTATACACAGTGTCTATATACAAACATATTTATGACAAAAATCTTAGAACCTCCGCTAAAGCACTTTTTTTTATAATTATGGATTAATATTTATTTCAGTACTACAAACGGTTATCAAGCTAAGCTGCATTGACAAAGAAATTAGGAATTCTCTTCACTTGGGAAAACAGGTTTGATTGTGATCTTAGTTTTTTCAGCAACATTTTAATGATAATGTGCTAATAACTAAATGATAATAACTAAACATAGTTCGATAAAAACCTATTAGTGACGCCAGGTTTTCTTTATTCAAGACGCAGTGGCCTCAAGCATCATACTATTACGTTTTGCATTAAAGAATAGTTTTGCCTTGAGCTATCATAATTTAGTTTTGACATATCTTGTTATTCACGCAAGGTTATATTTCAACTATTTCTCTTAAACCATGTTTTAAAATGGTGATTGATCTACTTCATTATTGCGTAAACGTTTAAACGGTTTAGCGCAAGGAGAAGTCTTTCATTACAGAGTTTGAAAGCTATATCAAAGTTGGGAACCCTGACTGTGCATGGAGCAGCACTAAGAAGGTATCCTGAAATTATCTCAACTGTGAAGAAGGTACGTATAATTATTAGCACAAAGCAACGTTTTTTAGACTGTTATGTGTTTCTCATTGTTATGTGTTTATCAAAAAGATAATTGTTCACTAAATATTACTTGTGTGAGTAACAAACTGTTCGATATTTGTTGTTCAATTTCAAAAGCTTTCGAGCTAATAAACCGTTTTATTTCAAGCGACAATAATAAAGTAATAAAGATGGCATATTGACTTGCAGTGTCGGCACTTTGCCTACTGTGGGCGCACTTATATTGTGTACATTCAGAAAGACATTAGAAAGAGGGAAGATGAAGGCATTTCGGGTAAGTGTGAGTTTTCAGAAATTCACAATTATAAAAAATCATTTCTTTCACAAAAACATTTGACAAAATATTATGTAATATTCTTTGTGGTAAAATGCTCAGAACCTCACAGAAGCAACCATGTTGAACTTTTAAACACGGCAGCTGTTCAAATGGTAAGATATGTGCCTACCATTCTCATTGGTCAAATGGAAGACTAAAATCCAGACTAGATAGGGATCTTTCATAATCCCACTGTCTTTCTCTTGCTGTATTTGTCGTTTTTTCTATGTCAGTCAAAATGGTCAGCCCACTCTATTGGATGACACATCTAGAATGACCGAAATATTGTTTAAGGAACGTAATGTCTATATCACCTCTAAAAGCATAAGACATGTATATTTCATAAAATAGTGCATGTCAAGGTGTGATATTTGGCTTATGTCAATAAAAATATGTCTTCAGAAACACTTAACAAACCAAGACACCGTCAAAGTCCAAGAAGGTATGGTGAAAGTGCATCTGTGAATGATGATAATGTGATTTAGAAAACTAATGGAAACAGGCATGCTACTATCTATATGCATGCAATCTAGGTATACCAAACGTATGTCCTTAGTATTTTCTTCTATGCGCAGAAATAAAGGAAGATATGACGAAAATAGACAATACACGGGGCCATTCTTTTACGTCGGGTTTTTTTCACATATAATTGTGAATATTTATACTTGTTTTTATGAAATATTATTCCATGTATTAGGCTTTTTGTTAACTTTCTATATGTGCAGGGGGTAGATAGATAATGAGAATACATTAATGAAAAGGGGTGGTTTGTGTTTCCGCTCCGCTCTTGAAGTCAAGCTCAAACCCCTAGTCTAAGTCCAAGTCACTTGCCCTCTCCTTTCAACTTATCTCACCTTCCCCACTTAAAATCTTAATTAATTTGATATACGAAATATGTAGACATACACATGATGTTAGTCCCTTGTAGATATTGCCATCTGAGGAAGTGAAACCCCAAATATACCATATGTTGCATTTGACCTCTTTCTAAAATGCATTGTATATTCAAAGCTTCGGCAATGTTAGCTGTGCCAATTTACACTTGTCAGATGGGAACAGGAAATGAGTAATATACAAATGCTCCAATTTTTTAATTTTTGTTTCATTACTATATATCTTAAACGATGACATGTCATATGGGAGTGATAATGCTGATAATGCTGTTACGCTCATCGATCATTCTCTCTGCGATACATGCTCTTTGAATGCGACTACTTTTGTTTTAAACGTTACACTTCAGAACGATGTATATGTACTCGCTCCCAAATCGTCACGGTGTCGGTCCTAAAAGTAAAGTGCTCGCTTACTTTCTTCCAATGAGGCTGCGGAGGGTCTACTACCAACATGATGTTTTAGTGATGAAATGCAAACGTCCTGATACATTTACTAGAATGCGTTAGAAACGCATCACCCCATTATGATTAATAAGTGGGAAAATAATTTTAATCCCTACCTGTGCCTGAAGTAACCTGACTACGGCAGATAAACGTGATTCGCGCCGAGAAGCACGTACATCCCTGTGTGATCCTGCCATTTTCTGAAAATCTTTTTTTCAACTGCAGATCGGGTGAAAATGCATAAAAGGTGGCGTTTCCAAAACACATTGGCAGATGACTCAACTGTATACCACAATTCACATCTTATTTTTGAACAGCACTAACTGTTGACTTTGCATAACGCCACGTTAATCAACTTTTGAGAGAGAAAGAGTTGTTTGGTTCCTTGAGGCTGTCTTGTCTCCACGCTAAGTGGCCAGAAGGTGTAATTGTCACAATTAAAAAATCGTAGATTATCACCACGCTCAATATCAATGACATGTAAGGTAAATGTTCTCAATCTAGCATTCACCATCTTCAAGACGGAGACCAGTTGTCAACCAATACATCCCATATTCCTAGTAAACTTGGTGAAACTTTGGCAATACTTTCTTTATCATCTAATTCAGATAATGGGGAAAATTGCAATTCCTATTCATGAGCTCAAAACTGACATGGAACATGCTGCACTAGCTGGTTACACACATTATCAACTTCTGAAGCTCTTTTAAACATTTTTATGACGTTTGGACGTAGAGGAAATTTCGTTTATCGTGGCGTGATGATATAATTGTCCCAAATACCTAAACCTAGAGATGATTATACCGATCCTTCATAGTATCGACTAATTTCACGAACAAGCTGCGTTTGCAAAAATATGGAACGCTTGATCAATACTGACTGGTACTGGAAACCCAAAATCTACTTACTGATGTGCAATGAGGTTTCCATAAATACAAAAGTATCATAGATAATTTAGTGCGTTAAGAATCATTTGTCAATAGTGCTATTACTACCTGGGAATTCGGGATATTAGAAGATCTAAAATCCGTGCAGATCTGGGCCAGAATTGATCATCAGTAATCCATGCTTGTCGAAAGAGGCGACTAACGGGATCGGGTGGTCAGGCTCGCTGACTTTGTTGACACATGTAGCGCAACGAAAATGGCAGATTACAAGAGTCAAGACACGCATTTCTGCCGTACTAGTTAGTGCAATAATTGCAGGAGTGAAACCTAAAACCTTAGTGGAAATGATGTCCAGGTGGTTACAAATATTACAAATATTCCAGACGACAATGGGCGGGGCTGCTTAGTGGGAGATCGTGTTTTGGTGATAATTCAGGGCTACAGATAAGGGGCGTACAGGCGTAATGTACGCCTCAAAATCAATTAAGTACGACACAATATAAGATTTCAAGCGTATCGTGTACGCACATAAATACCTTCGTACGTCTAACATTTAATTTCCGTGCGTATCGTGCAAATGGAAATCTATTTCGGATAAATACTTGTCAAGAGTTTCTTTGCGAAACACGACTTGACACATAAGGAAACCCCGACAGTAGGAATCCCTTGCGTTGCCATGCAACGATATGCGTCACTATTTTTCGATTGGCTAAAAACTACACTGTTCCTATTTATATCCAGTCGGACCTGACATTTCGCGCATCACACAGTCGCTCAGTTATTTCTCACGCGTCTTCAAATACAAATACATGGTTGGAAATAGTGATCGATGAATCGTCCAGACAAACCACATCAACTCGCTCACACAAAAACATGTCAGAACTCCTTCAAAATTCTCAGTATACCTCCGCTTGCAATATGATGTGTAAGTACACTTACACCCCCCAAAAGTTATCTGGAGCCTTGTAATTTACTGGTATTCCAGATGTATCGGTGAAGGTAAAGATGTTTCTTAATAGAAGCAGTTCGTACTCCCTGATGACAAGGTACCAGCACAAATATATCACTCTGTGTTCCATGTAAAACGGATGGTACAAGAACGGTGGTGAGAAGTAGGTGAGGTGAGGTGAAATTGGGTTTAACGTCGTCCTTGAGAATATTTCGCTCATATGACGACGTGCATTGCGCGTGTATGTGTATGTGCGGCTGCTTGTACTAGCCCTGACTGAAGTTGGTTTTATAGTGCTAGCCCACTGAGATACCATGCCGCAGTGAAGCATGAATACCCTCAGACACATTATACTGACTCCGAGCCGACCAGTCCTTGTTGTACCCATTAATGCCGAGCGCAAGGCAGGGACCAACAAGTACCATATTTTAACGTCTTTTGGTATGACGCGGTCGGGGATCGAACCCGCGACCTTCCGCTCTCCGGGTGGACGCTCTAACCACTACACCACGGAGGCGGTCGGTGAGAAGTAGGGTCACGAATGTATGACGTTAAGCGGCACATACCTAGTGGATGGTCAGAGATGTTACTGATATATACAGTATACATTAATGTATCTGTAGTACATGTTGAGGCGTGGGAATCTATAACAATATAATAATGATATGATCAGTTGAGGTCTATGTAGTAGTAGTAAACTACTTCGAGTGGCATTTTAGAAGTTGGGAAGTACAGTGAAGAAACACTATTAATGACAACTTCTGTATTTCGTGAATGCGACGTTTCGATACAGATTCTTGTACCGTTGTCAAGCAGGAATGTAACATGAATAGTTTAAACTACAATGTTCATTAGTACATCTTTGCTTGTACGCCTTACCTTTTGTAAACACACTGGCTTTATCAGCTTACTGCCAAGCCTATTATGTTATTATCTTGTTTTCTTTGTTTTCCTTGTAACACTTAGTATACATGCCTTCCACTTCATGTTACATTCCTGCTTGACAACGGTACAAGAATCCGTATCGAAACGTCCATAAGGTATGTCTATATTATATTTGTACACCTCCCAATCAATGGTAAGCGGAGGGAGTTTATGATATATAGTAGCACACTTCCAGCCCATGCTGAGGGGTGGGTGCCTGTGATGTTTATTTATTACTGGACACAAAAACGTCTGTTGTTCATGATGTACATAGGTTTTGTAATGGCATCTTCAGTCTATTTGCGGGCGACATACACACATAATTTAGGTATGTATCTAGTCCATGGTGTACCCCACCAGTCGTGTTTTATCTTTGAGATCTATATATATATACCTTGCGTATAATACCACATCTGTATTCCATGGCACGCTAATGAGTTTATAGACTAAGTGTATTATGTACTTTGTAAATACAAAGCAGCTATCACTGCTCAGGATCTTTCGGCCACTCAGCAATTCAAGGTTATCGCCTTAACACTTCTCTGGAGGCTTACATGTACTGTTATTTTACATGATTTCTTCTCGGGAGGCTTACATGTACTACTTTCACATTTTCTCGGACTCAAGTCAGACATATAAAACATCTATGTTTACGAAAGGAGCCATGAATCGTCATCAACAGGTAACTTAATATTAAAACACACAAACATATTTATGCCGTGTTGGGATTCATTTCACTGGAACATGAAGAGAGGAAGGTGTCTGTGCGTGTGATTACAGACGTATAGGCAACGCCAAGTGGAGTTGAAAGGTAAGATAGAATTTTGTAATTGTTCTGGATTCTTTCGAACTGTGCAGCATTTCAATGATCTTGTTTTATAGCATGCTGTATATATAGACGATGATTATACTGCATACAATCCTCAGGCATGCATAGCGGGTAATGGAGAGGATGACACGGGATCAAATGCAGTATGAATGTGGCAACATATATGTGCGTCAAAACCTTTAGACATCCATAAGAAATCACTGCCACAGTCTTACTCGATTGTGCGGTCCAGGTTATATTATGAGCATGTGTTGATAAATCCAGACATTGGATGTTTCATATACTTCAAATCTAATGACGACACATCATATACGTATGACCTTACGATGTAACCAAACAGCGAAATACTTAGTGGGTTGGTTTGTTGTTTAACGCCGCACTCAGCAATATTCCAGTTATATGGGCGGAAGATGGGGACACTGAAAAAAAGCGTTGGGCATATGCTTTTATCATGTGTTTCTTTTTATAGTTATCCAGATAAGATAGATTGTCGTAAGTGGCGACTAACGGGATCAGGTTCGCTGATTTGGTTGACACACGTCATCGTATCCCTACTGTTGCGTAGATCGATGCTCATGATGTTGGTCACTGGATTGTCTGGTCCAGACTCAATTTTTACAGACCGCCGCCAAATAGCTGGACTATTGCTACGTGTGGCGGGAAACAACAAACAAACTGTATATAATAGACTCCGACCCCTCACCATGGACTAGAGATGTAGTACTATAGCATAGACGTTTGATATTTTCACGCAATAGCAGTGGTAAACTATGATGTTTTTATCTTTACCAAAAGTGACGAATAGTTCTTGAATGTTAGTTGGTGGAGTTAACTGTCGAACGGAGCCGAAGAACACTTTTGTACCATGGTACAAACCGCTGAAACACAACACAGTGTTTAAATGATCCATTAAATCCTTTGCAGAAGACCTCTGCCACAAACCAAACTCACTCACTCACTTCAAAGCAGTGAAAGGGGGTCTATTCGTACATCTCTGTCTGGCTTCTTACAATGTCTAAACATTTGAATCTGAAATATTAAAACCAAGCGGCTTTACCTTCCATGACTTCAGAACAGAACATGTGCAACATTGGGTGTTAATATGTCAACGTTCACTGTGTCAGTGCATAACTGTGAGGATAAATCTTGCGAGCTAAAATGCTCTGATGGAAAATGCAAAATGCCGGTCAAAAGTTTGCTTTGCTTTTTCGAACAATGTCAGACCTCAGTTTGATGTAGAACGTACTGAAATCATATTTTGAAAGTTAGTTTGAAGACATTTTGTCAGACACGTACTCTAAATATGGCTAAATCCAAGCTGCCGTAAGAAACATTTTCAGATATTCCAAGTTTCCTAAATATCCTAGCAGCAAAAGAAACGTCAGTTTGGAATTTTCCTTCGCAGAAACGGATAACTGTAAACTCATTTAATGTTTTGTTTGTATGTTTTTGACAACATCTCCAATTTCACCTCAGCAAAGACATTCTTTCTCTAACTCAGAATAGAACCCAGGAAATGGTCTCAAAAACGCAACCTGATCTCGAAGATGGTATGGTGTTCTCCATGTTTTTCATGCAACTCATGCTGCACGTGCTGTTCACAAGGGCCAGCCCTATGAAATGCACCCCAAACCTGGTTGAAACATTCACATTACAACGTCAGCAGGATGCCGCGACTAACGACAGCTCAGAGCAACCAGGAGCTAGAAAGACTTGAAGCTGGCCACACTGCACAAGCTGTTGCCAATCACTTCCAGGTCAACGTTCGGACCATCTACAGGCTGCAGCAACGTTTCCGGGCCACCAACACCACAAATGATTGCCCCCGTACTGGCAGACCAAGGGTGACCACACGACGACAGGACCGCCATGTTATGCGACAGCATGTACAGAATCCCTTCATGCAGGCATCCGAAACAGCACGCCAGACAGTGGGAACACACAGAAGACCAATCAGTACTGATACAGTACGCCGACGTCTTAACAGCGGGAACCTCCATTGCCGTAGACCTTACCGTGGACCTATCCTCACCCCTCGTCTTCGGCGTGAACGTCTACAGTTTGCCCTACAACACAAAACTGGCGATACAGGCAATGGGTAACTGTTCTGTTCACAGATGAGAGTCGGTGCTGCGTATCAACTGCAGATGGCAGAACAAGAATATGGCGACGACGTGGCCAGCGTTACTCAGACCAATGTGTTATGGAAAGAGACTCATTGGGAGGTGGAATAGGCCTGAACCACAGAGTGGGTCCTGTGGTGTTCCAGAACCTTGGTACAGGGAGAGGAGGCGGCATCACAGCGTGCGCTACATCGACCAAGCTCTCAGACCCCACGTCATACCACATTTCGCATGTCACCGGAACAACATTTTCCAACATGATGACGCCCGGGCCGATACTGCCAGAGCTACACAGGACTTCCTACAGCAGAACGGTGTCAACATTATGCAGTGGCCAGCACTTAGTCCTGATTTAAACCCAGTTGAACATCTATCATACCAAGGCCGAACACAGCCGATTTATTACGCCAGGCCTTTCTGAGAGTGTGGTTCAAGGTGTCAGTGGCCTTCATCAATCGATTGGTGCACTCCATGCATAGACGCTGTGCTGCAGTTATTGCCGCTCGTGGAGGTCACACCAGCTACTAAAGTCAAGAGTCTGAATGGACTGCAAACGTTCACGTAATGTCTTTGAATTGTGCTGAGTTATTCATTGATGTTTTAAGATATGGTACACAAAAATTGTTTTTGATCCGCTTATTATGTTCATTTCTGTAATGATGTGATAACAGTGCCTATCTAACTTTGAATTCGTACCGACGTTTCTTTTGCTGCTGAGTATATAAAGTGTTCAACAACATTTGAATCACCAACAGTAACACAGGAGTACACACAGCATGCCACAACTTTGACATTTTTTAAGTCTTGCTTTACATAATGCTTTGCAATTATGAAATAACTCACTTATATCTCCTTCAACTGACCAGGCAGTAGATATCCAAGATGGCGTACAGCGGCGTGAGTGTCAATGCCATGGCTGAGTCTGGAGGACGTGGACGACGGTGTTTCCACAACATCCTCTGGTTCACAGCCGTGTTCAGCATGTCGTCACTGGTGATGGAGTCAGTTAAGTTGTACACAGTGTCACAGATCACAGCGCTGGAAAAGCAGTTTGGACTCAGCAGTACAAAAAGTGGCCTACTTCTGAGCTGCAGCGAAATCGGCTATCTTTCAGCTATTTTCTTCTTCAGCCATTTTGGGGGAAAGCGCTTTATACCTAGGATCCTGTCATGTGCATTAGCTGTGTATGGTATTGCTAGTTCAATGTCGGGTCTGTTACACTTCATGAATCCTGTATCGCTTCCTACTTTAGAGGACCTTGCCTCCAACTATTCTTCTTCACAAAGAGTCAGGTCTGTGTCTGGATTCCGTGCAGGAGCAGGAGCGATGCCCGTCTTCGGAGGATCAAGTGACTGACAACGGACGTTGGGTGTACAGTGTCCTTGCTGTACTTATGGTGTTACTTGGAGTGGGTAAATCCCCACGCTTTTCCCTGGGTTTACCGTACGTTGACAATAATTCCCGTGACAAACAGCAGTCGAGTTTACTGACAGGTACGTTCTCAGGTCTTACATGATGTGAAGGGGAGAGTTTATAAGATGAGTGTAAACATGATAAATATTTTAATTCATTATGCAATAGAGAAAAACATCTAGTTTGTTTGTAAAATCTAAGTTTTATCTAATTAGCCAAATGAAACCTTTCGGTATATAATTAGAGTATGAAGAAAAAGTAGTGTATGTAGAAGAGAATGTGTTTGTAGATCACAAGTTTCAAAATGTATCGCATGCAGAGGAAAGAGCGAATCTAGAAGCAGGTTGTGTATGGTGGAAGGAGCGTGTGTGGTGGTATAGTCTGTCCAGGCTCAAAAGTGGACTGATGAATTGCAATCTAACTCGAAAACTAATATACATATAATACTAAATGAAACGCTGATCACAATTAAGACATCAGACCAACTCTGTGAGTTTTTTGCAGAATTTATGTCCTAAAAATGAAAAAGTTGTTTAACAAACTATCATTAAAATTTTGACACAGTTCACTATTTGTTACGAGGAAGGAGTGCAAAGAGAGGAACAAAGGAGTTGGTCTGATGTTTTGACTATGATCAGTGTTTCATTGAGTATTATATGTTTATCAGTTTTCAAGTTAGATTGCAATTCATCGGTCCGCTTTAGAGCCAAACGGATAGCTCGTCCGCAGAAAAGCGCACAACAGAAAGAACGCTTGTAGAAAGAACGCTTGTAGAGGAAGAAGTGTGTATAGCGGAAATAGTGTATGTAGCGGATGGAGTGTCTGTAGTGGAAGTATTATGTAGTAGAAGGAGTTTATAGCTAATGTCCTGATTCCGTTGCGTTTGTATCGTGGTCTTGCAGGTATCATTATGACGATGGCGTACCTTGGACCAGCTGCTGCTCTCGGTCTTGGTGGATGGTTCAGTGACATTCCCATTGATCTAAGCGGTTGGTTTTGTGCTGGCACTAACTAGTGATTAGAAGTAATCACATTCAATCTTTTTTCTACAAAAAACGCTTTACAAGGAATAACTACACGCGAATGTTAATTCAAATATAGGTTTGGTATCCAGGGGACTTACATTATTGGAATTTTTGTTCTTTACGCCATACATGCACAACATGTTTTTATGAAATATATACTCCTTGTATGGTTTGGTTTCAAGAGTCCCAGTTAGACAGCCATCACCCCCAGTGGATAGGGGCATGGTGGATCGGGTACCTGATCTTTGGATGTGCAGCCCTCTTTCTTGCTGTACCCTTGGGCTGCTTTCCAAGGCACATTAAGAAATCAATGGTTAATGATACTGACACGACCAAGTCTCTGAAAAACGATATAGTCGGTGAGTCTCTTCTACAGTCCGTTTGAGTCAGAAACGGACCGATGAATTGCAAATTTTATCATTGTACAAAATTGCCACATAAATATAAATAGTACACATGTTTATCATTTACTAATACCCAACAGCTTTCTTATATTTGAAAATTTTCCTGACTCCACCAAAAAAAGTTGTTTAAGAAACTATAATCATTGAAAACGCAAAAGTTGTTATCTGTCACGGCGGGGTGAAACCGCAGAATCGGAACAGCCAGTCATGGCGGGGGACATCTCAAAGTCTATTCCAGGAGACCTATCGGTCCCTCGTCCGTCGTAGTGTCATAGTCACGACTTAAAGGGATGACTAGTGGTGCCTGTTGTAAGCCATCCCGAAACCAGTAACCTTGCTCAGTGACGAGAGCTACCTTGTTGACACAGTTTTGCCAAATTTCGTGATTTTGTTAAGGGATTCTTTAACCAAAACCTCTACGTCACGTAATCTAAAAGTTGTGTTTGATCTGGCAATATCTCCTTTGACAATACCCCAAATCATTTCAATGGGGTTAAGGCCACAGTGATAGGGTGGAAGTCGCAGAATATCGTGACCCTTACTTTTTATCTAACTGTCAACTTTGTAGAAAGGTTCACCTTTGTGGGGTTTTATGATCTCATATAGCTGAGGCTTCGTTGCCGAGCGATCTGCAATCTGTTGAGCCATGATATCATATCACCTTTTCGACTGTTCGATGTCGGGGCTTTACTGTCGGGGTCCTGCACGCTGTGGTATTGGGCATTGTCCATTACGATAAAAGACTTCTCTGGTAGAGCTGGTACCAACTTGTTTTTAACCCAATCGAGGAAAACCGCACCATTCATCTCGGAATGGTAGTCTCTGTTATCTGTGGACTTTGCCCTGAATACCAAGTCGCAGCCTGGGAGAAAGCCTTTGCTGGAGCAACCAGCATTTAGAATGATTAGTCTCTGTCCTTTCCCTAGAGGCAGCTTTCTACGTGACCCCTTATCAACCCCATCGGGTACCCACTGACTGCTGGCAGTGTGCGAGGCATTGACCCAGGTCTCGTCTAAGTACAATGGCTCGAACCCTTCCTCGCGCTTCTTTTTTATAACCCTGAGAAAATTATTTCTCAAGCGAACGATACCAGGGCGTTCACAGAGTACTGACCTATTCTCCCCCGAAATTTTCTTATAACGATACCCGGAAGAGTGTAAGAGTCGCCAGAGTGTGTACTTTGATATTCTGAGGTTGTGTTCTTGCTTCAAATGCTTTTTAAAAAGTTTCAGCGACATGTATTTGTTTTCAGAATAGAGCTTGCTGATAGACTGCCTTACAAGGTTCTTTTGAAAGTTGTCCAAATGTTTTAATTTGTGTGATTTTGACACGACCCCTACCTGCTTCGCATCACCCTCACAATGTTTGTGTTCCAGAACATTTGTCAGTACCCTTGCTGATACTCCTAAAGCTTTTGCTGCCCGCTTACGGAATTTATTAATGGCATAAAATGGTTTACCCCTTTCGGCTTCAGCACGGAAAAAATCGTACACTTTAATCATCAACTGTTTCACGTCAGCATTCAACTTCATTTTTCATCAGGCATGTGTATCCCGTGCACGACGAGATAGTGGCTGTTCCGTTTCTGCGGTTCACCCCGCCGCGACAGATAACAACTTTTGCGTTTTCAATGATGAAAGTTTCTTAAACAACGTTTTTTGGTGGAGTCCGGAAAATCTTCAAATACATGTGTATAAGAAAGCTGTTGGGTATTACTAAATGATAAACATGTGTACTATTTATATTTACGTGGCAATTTTGTACAATGATTAAATATGCAATTCATCGGTCCGTTTCTGACTCAAACGGACTGTACACGTTCTTTCTGGGTATGAAAAGTACAAGACATCATGGTGTGGTACCTTGTCACATGCTTGTAATTACTCCTTTAACAATTTGCTCTGAGGTTATATTAAATGGGTGGTGTATGGTAATAAATGGAAACATGTCTACAAGACTAAGGGGATGGTTCCCCAGTGCAAATTCCAAGTGGTTATACATCGGAGTTTCATTGCCTGTTTGTTCCATGTCATACAAATGCCGGCATTTTCGGTATGTGATGTCTCTTACCCATCATCTCTCCGTACCAATCGGTCTCTTGCTGATATATCTGATTACGGAAACGCAATACACAAAGACCCATCCAGAAGTTGGAATCTAAAATTTCTCTTGTTCTGCGAAACGAATTATTTCTGTTGTTCCTGCAGACATGCCAAGGTCCATATTACGGATATTGAAGAACCCAGTAGTCGCCTGTCTTCTTCTTGGGAATGTCAGTGCTTTCTTTTTTGTCGGAGGCTATTTAAGCTTTGCTCCAAAATACATCGAGACCCAGTTTGCAAGGACGGCAGCTGAGGCGAACTTCATATTGGGTAAGGAGCGACGACAGATTTATTGACATTATGTTTTAACGTGTGCATCAGTGAGTAGGACGCAGTTTAGTTACATTGAGACTGGCATGTCCAGTCTCCACAATGTCTCTCTAAGCTTTCTGTGACTGAATCAGATTGGAGCTGTGTAAACTTATTTATAAACCGGGGAGCTCACATATTGTTTTCTGTTTAGATGGATTCTTTGTCTGTAAACCTGACGGAGGCACATTTAAGGTTTAGGAATGGGGTTTACATGATTGTTTGAAAGTGGAAACCAAATCACAGTAACTTTTTATCGAAGTTCACATTTCCATACCTGAATGTGTTGCAGGTATTCTAGAGCTGATGTGGGCGTTAGTGGGCACCCTTCTTGGGGGCATAATCACCAGCAGATTCCGGCTTACCAGCATTGGATGTACAAAGCTCACGACCATAGTGATATCAATTGGAACTGTCCTCTATTCCCTCACGTTGGTCTTTGGTTGCGACGAACAGAACATCAAGGGTCTAGGTGACAGCAGGTAAGAGGTAGTTATTACGTCCAGGGGAGGGTAAAGGTGACAGAGGTAAGTGTCAGGGCTCACATAACCAAAACACGTAGTGTCTAGGTGACAGCAGATAGGTACCAGTTGTTAGAACCAGAACATTGAGAGTTTGATATTCTGTATTTACTACGCACTGTTGGCCATCGACCCATTGTACATTTAGATAGTCAGGTTCACAGATTACATACAAGGGCATATGACATTTAAGGCATGGAATATAAGTTGTGAAAGTTTCTTACTATAAAGTTTCATATTTTCTTTGAATGTCAGTTCAAAGTTAACATACCATGGTATTCTTTTTCCATGTAACTGTTTTACTGGGGTTACATAGTACCAGGTTACAGAGTCTTTGGTCTCTCTTTACATATTGATATCTGACCACTCCAATTTGGCGTGTATGAGGACCACAACGGTTGCGAGAGAGTGCATTACGAGATTTATCAATGTTAATGTTTGGAAGAAATTCGATTTGAAAGACAAAGAGGTACACATATTAGGACTATCAACAATTTCGAAATGCTATTCTTCTTCATGATTATATTTGAATCTTGATACATATTCAAATACGTACTGATTCGGATACGAAATTGCTTGTTATTTCCCAATATAGCCAATACAAATTAATATACGGTGTCTTTGATCTTGGAGATCCAATTAATCTTGCAGTTTACAGCTTATTTAAACGAACGATCATAGTTCTTTCTTCTTTAACTACTATCATGCAAAGATATTACCTTACACTAATAAGTGATATGATGGGTTGAATACAGCATACACTTAAATCTTCTGATTGTATACTGAAATATATTCTGAAGTTTGTTTTCAAGATAATGAAAGATATACATAAATACGTGGCAGTAAATAATTATGTTTCAGATATTCCATGGTAAATGACACTGTCTGCAACTGTGAGTCAACGGAGTACATGCCTCTGTGTGGCGTTGATGGAGTGACATATATCAATCCCTGTATGGCAGGATGCAAGTCTCAGAACGGTACTGTAAGTATCTCACTCCCTGTGAGGTTCTCTGTATGTAAGGACGCCAGTCTCAGATTGGTACAGTAAGTATCTCACTCCCTGTAAGGTGCCCTGTACGTATTTCGGGATGCCAATATGAGACCTGAACTGTGGGTATCTCACTCAAGGTAGTGCGACATGTCATCTCAGAATTGCTCTGTGAGTCTCTAAAATGTCTAGAAGGTATCTCATTTCATCAGTCATTAGATTATTCACAGTTAAATACAGATAATGCCCCGGTGACATTTGGTTGTTTTTTTATTTATAAGTATTTGATATTTGTGTTTTATGCGGCTTTATTTCAGACATACAAGGGGTGCAGCGAGATTCCTGGTAACGAAGGCACAGTGGGCAAATGCCCATTAGATTGCCCCTACCTTTATCCCTACATCATCGTTGACCTGTTGTCCGGCCTAGCGGCGACAATTTCCATAGTCCCTGTCGTCATGACCATAATGAAGTAGGTGGTTTTAACACAAACACACGCACACACGCACACCTGTTTGCGAGACCGTTAATTAATGTTTACAAGAATATATATGACATCAGATAAATACAAAGCGATTTAGTCCCGATATAGTTAGGTAATTTAGTCCCCCTCTCTACATTGTTTCTTTTTATATTAAATGAATCATAATAAAAACTCATACTTTATTTCGGCACCTGGAGCACGAAACATGGCTGGGGAACACAATGTGTCCATCTGTTGTATCTAGAAACGCACAGAGAATTAGGCTTAAGTGGAGCTTAAGCGTGTATGTAGCCTTATAGATACTTACGTTCAATCAAGCTGGAAAGCACCACCACATTAATGTATTCACTGATACTTTCGTCTTTGTCCAGTTGGAGACAGCTGGTGATGATTACCATGACCTGGGACCTCACTATTCAGAGAAACACACAGGAGTGAATGTCATTGATTTTTTGTTATCCGATGTATCCTGTCAGCAGCACAATAACTTTCCAACCAGTTAAACTGTTTCATCCTGTTTGTTTAACATGCTATGCAGCAACACTTTTTGCGTGGAACTGGATTTTATTCTTTCAGCATGTTGAGCCACAATGGGTTATTTTCAAACTATATAGGCACTTTAACAAGTAGAACAAATTACTTCCCTTTCAGCGTAAGTGTGTGCCAAAATATATGATTCACATATTAACGTTTACCTAAAAACAAGCATGTACATGATGGATATACAATGCATATACGCCATCGTGTGTTTTGTTGTATCAGCACGTTTCTCACGTATGTCATGAGTTATGTTACACATCAATTGAGAGACTAAAACCATTGAATGTGCCTTTTATAATCGAAGAGTTGTCACTGACAATTGGACACTGTTAACTGCTCGGATTTCTTTCTACATCTGCTACCGATGGACTGCTGAGCATGCAAATGACGCAAGTTCAGAACTGAAGTCTTGTACGTCAGTTTCAGAACTGAAGTAATGTATGTCAATTTCAGAACTGAATTATGGTATTTAAATCTCGAACTGAAGTATGGTACGTCATTTTCGGAAGTGAAGTAAGGTACTTCAGTTTCGGAAGTGAAGTTTGGTACTTCAATTTCAGAACTGCAGTGTGGCACTTCAATTTCAGAACTTAAGTATGGTACTACAGTTTCAATTTCACAAATACCTTCTTCAGATTCTCATTCACGCACGCAGTACCGGACTTCATGAGCTCCCTCAAATTCGATCCACATGAATATATCCAACATTTCTGTATAGAATATATAACCTCGAGGGCCCAATTTTGTTTTTAACAATGGAGAACTCTCAAGTCTTGTTTTTCCAAACTCCATGCAGAACACATGCCTTTGAACTGTCTTACAGAGTTGGGAAGAGGGACTAAAGGGTATACAATGAGGATGAACAAGTGTTGGCCTCCTCTACATGGATGGGCAGACTATTCTGATGTATTTGTTCTGCCATCCATTCCCTTCAGATAGGTCACCGTTGAAGCTGTATGTTCAACCGTAGCAAAATCAAGCAAATCGAGTGGCATATTTTTGCAGGACAGTCTCGAAAACAAATAACCCAGTAGTGTTTCGGGACATTCAAAGACTGTCGAGGAAGGTTTGTTTCAATTCTGGAAATAGTTTCCCTTTCTCTCTGATGCTCTTCATGTTCTTGCAAGACTTCTAACTGTTCTCAGCCGAGGTTCCATGACATCACGCATTAGTCCAACACAGTTAAGAGTCAATTTTAGAGCTGACATAACTCACTCTGCTGGATTTTGGATATGAGGCATTTGGGTCAATCCTCGCTGCTATCAATATATCTAAGTGAAAGAGGACTAGTAAAAGGCAATAAGGCTATTTTAGTTTTTTTGTGGAATAAGATAACTTTTTTAACAGAATCATTTCTGTCAGTATTTTTTATCATCCTTAACTCAGCTGCAATAGGTGTCGAATAGGTGAGGATTATGAAAAACGTTTCCTCCAATAAGAGCGTATACTTGGGCCTTTGTTGAATGAGACTGGTAATATTAGTCAACATCGCTACACTTGGACTAATAGAAGACATGATCAGAAGCAACTAACTTCCTGCCATCAGACACAAAACAGCTTTCCCACGCTCAACAGCTTAGATTGTATTCCAAGGTTCCAATCGCAGCAAATCACTTTTTGTGTTTCAACAAAGCTGCAGCATATATCAAATTTGTACTACCCCACTGAATGCAAGCTAGTGGAAATTTCATAGGCAATGGAAATGTTTTTGTGCCATATATTTACAAGAAGATACTTTGTCGACACGATTCGATAAGGATATATGACTGGTTTCGTTTCCCTTACGTCTTTATAATTAACTATATATTTGATAGTTTAATTATTTTGACTGATTATTTGATTATTTGATTCCTATAAAGAACAGTACACCCGAGGGACAAATCCATGGCTGTGGCTATATCGTCTTTCCTAAGTAGTTTTGTCGGTAAGTAAAAGAAAGCATAAGGGGCATCTCGTGTTTGCTAGTATTTGACTAGCACAGAGCTAGATCTTACTCTATCAACCCTGTACTTAAAGCGGGTGAAAGAGACTTATTCCTCGGAATACCCTTACATACCGGCAATGACAGTTTATGGACATGCATTTAAACGATACCAGCCCAAGCTGTAACAAATGCTACTACTTAAGCATCCTTCTATTTGTATTGTAATTATTTGTGTCATGTAGGTTCCATTTAAACATATAAGAATGAAAATCCAAATATATGCTTCATCTTGGACAGACTGTAAATCAAATTGACTCATTATATGTACGTATATGTAGCAACTTTTAAAGTTAACTGGAATGTGAGTTGGAATGTATATAAAGTAAAGAGTGTATATTCTGATGTCACTTATGATAATTGATTTTATTCCCCAGGTTTTCTTCCATCACCTATCGTTTATGGAAAGGTCATTGACACCACGTGCACTCTCTGGGAAACAACGTGTGGTGAGGTCGGCGCATGCGCAGTGTATGATATCCCAAGCCTACGATATCGTGTAAAAGGGATGGACGTAGGACTTCAGTTATTATCATCAGCTGGCTTTTTTGCAGCTTTCCTTTTACTAAAAAATGGGGTCGCTAATGAGTATTCCGATTCAGATGCACCACAAACCCAGGCTGAAGCAGCAGAAGATACTGAGAAACGTGATGTTCAGCTTACACAGTTTTAAAACTCCTTCCAGACGGAAACGAAACTGTGTTCGTTTGGGGCGTTTATGGAATGAATATGTTGATTACTCCAATAACTGAAAAATGGACCAAATACGAAGACAACAGCATTCCTGTATACTGTATAAATATAACACTCTTCAGCTACATAGGTTAAAACATCAAGTCACTCTTTAAGGATATTCTTAAAGGAGAGAATATTCGTAGTAGTCAATGATGTTATATATAATGTCAACGTGTTTCTTTATTGTTAAAGCATTTTTTTCCATTAATGAGCTCAATGGGTCATTATCAGCTATGGTCTATTCTAGTATTGTTCTGTCAAAAAATAAGTTGTAGGACTAAGGTCAATTTTACTTGCCTGTGTTCTACCCCAGTGGGAAATGTAGTTCTCTCTAACTTTAGTACGCAGGGGTACATGCTGTAAGAAATGCATTTTTAAAAACTATTCACAGATTCCGTATCCATACGCACTTACATTATTAAGGGCAAATGGACATGGTGAAATTCTGTTGATATTTTATGACTTGATGACAAAGGAGCTTTGGTCATATGTAGCGTAAAAACAACTCGTTCCCAATATCTTATCTGCATTGGGTCCCTGGTGAAATAAATCATCCTGCAAATATATTTCACGCGGGACCTATAACATGCCTATGACAGGTCGGAAAATACCACCAAACAGTCTCAGATGTTTTTTAAAAGATTAATCAGTGCTACAGTTTGTATGTATTAGAAGCAATTTCGCACTTTTGCAAGTACAAACAGCACAAATGCTAATGGGGGACACGGTGGGCGAGCTGGCAAAAGCGCCAGGCTAGTGATCCATCGAGCTTGAGGTGTCGGTATCGAGCCCACCTGTGACTGGGTGTAACAACCTTGGAGTCAACTTTGTGTTGTCACAACCCCTTGTGTACAGTACACAACCCTGTGCACTTGAAAGAACCCACGAATCCGTTGGTATATGACCAGATGGTGGCCACATAAATACGTGCAAACACCTAGTTGCGGGTACAGCAACGTGCAGTGAACTTGGACAAAGTACTGTGACAATGTGTCCCAGTCCACCCAGCTGTCAATGGGTACCTCATAAGGGTGAGAAAGCCGTGTGGCTGCAAGAGGTGTATGATCCCTGGGGAGTTGAGATTGATAATACGATGTGCCGTTCAGATTGACATCCACTGATCGAAGGAAATACCAGCGCCTTGAGCATGTACTAGTCACGTGGATATGTGCGCTATATAAATATCATGTAATAATAATAATAAAATATATATAAACAAGATTCATATATATACATACAGCCAAGAACACAGTTATATGGGTTGTATTTCTGGATGGGGTAAGTATTTAGTCAAAGATACAAACTCAGTACAATTTACAAACATTACTCCAAACCAGTGACCTATTGGTTGCACAAATCCGAACGTTTTCTTATAGACTTATATATTTATAGTGACATTATATTTTATTCACGCTCTCAGCAGATGTTACATGTACCTGTGTGCACAGTGTCCATCATAGCAGCCAGATAATGCAATACGCAATGAAGATTATCTACGAAAACTGCTTGTTAACTGGTTATATATGCATAAAATGTATAAAGGAATTAATAAAGACGTATTTTTTATTATCATACACATACAGTTTGAATTATTTCACTGTTTATAAAAGACGGGGATCGTGGATCAATTCCATGCATCTGAGGCTGCCTAGATCATAAAACCAAACATATATTTTCAACGATGAAATCATGAACAACTCATTGCAACCAGTAAAAATACATGTTTCAGATTCATTAATGGTCTGTTGTTTGCCTTTGCCTGACATCATGAAATCTCAGCAGAGTAAGCTACATTCATGTAACTTCGTGTTGACACTTATGTGATGTGGTGTGATGGAGACTGTTTACGGCTTAGACTAGGCCCGATTCTGGAAAAAGGCTCAAATAAAAGATGTGGAGGCATTTTTAGTAGGGGTTGGTATGAAAGCTATTTTACCCATTTAAAGGGTGCTGATCACGACGAAAAAATAGGATACCAAGCTGAAACAAGTGTTTTTTACCTCAAAATTGAAAAACAAAATGGCCGCCAACATCGCCTAAAATACTAGTAGGTGTGCACAGTATTTTCGCCTATGACTGTATCTCTATTTTATAAATTTTGGAAACGTGACATTCTAAGACATTTATAGAGTGGTGATCATAAATAAATAGGATTCCAAGCTGAAAAATGCTTTTGGGCCCTCAAAATTGAAACACAAAGTGGCCGCCATAGTCACCTCAAGTAGTGGTAGGTGTGCACGGTATATCATCACCTGTGACTGTATATCTATTTTCATTTCTTTAAAACCTAACTCTGTTTTACATTTAAAGAGTGCTGATCACGAAAAACTAGGATATCAACTGAAAAACTTGTTTTTTATAAATGCCCACTGTATAATTACAATGTTAATATTGTAGTCACCACAAGGATAGAACTGCCTTTCATCAAAAACAATAATTAAATTGGATTTTGTTAAAAACATTATTTCATCCCAAAATTATATTTTATCAAATTGTCATAGATTATTAGGAATAAGTTGTTAACAAAACCTTTAGTTGTTACATAGTTCAGATGGTTATCAACACATTATGAAACATTACTGAGCACAGTTGTAATTGTTTTGAATGGGGTTTTTTAAGAGCTGGTAATTTGACAATTAGAAATAATGAATGGTCCCTTTACTTTTGATGGCTGCCTTTTTAAGACATGTCAAGTTGCTGGTACAATTGTTATAAGTATTCCTCCTTTTACATTGATATTTATGTAAATTCGTAATTGAATAATGTATCTACTTTCAATAAGGGCAAATAAAAAACAACAGAATGAATAATAAACTGCATTTACAGTTACAAAATGTAAATGAAACCCTCATGTTCAAACCCTTTTGACTGGAAGAAATGTATGTTTTGTCAAGAAGTTAACTTGAAACAACATCTGTATTCCGTGATGACATTAAACGCCAGCTCTGATATTCTGGAAGCTTCTCGATTTGAACAGAGCTTGAATTGTAAACTTGCTGGTGTATGTAACCTAATTGCCTCCGATGGCTAAATATCATTTGCCTTGTCTTAGTTCCTTAAAAGAACTACCTAAAAAAAACCCACCAAAAATGCTCATGACAGTAACACAGACCCGCCAATGGCATGGTTGACCTCTGAGTTCCGTTATGCGGCAGATAATATTCATGTTCTCAAGTTGAGCGATGTCTGGAAACGGTACGAACATCTAGCAGTCAAATCCAACGTCATTACTGCACATAAAGCCAGGTTATGTAGGTGAGAACTACCGTTGCTCTTCATCAGGCTAGTGACCCAGTGGTACTCGACGTCGCTGTTGCAATACGCTGGGTATGTAATATGACCCTGAAATATATCCTGTAATGCGACTATGTTCAGGGACAAATGCCCATCACATATATCATTGCAGTTTGCAAGTTCTTCTTCTTATTATTAAGGTAAGAAACATGTACGCCTTGCAATTAAATACCGTTGTCTTATATACTATTCACACTTTGCTAATGATCAGATCATTGATTCAACAGAATAAGTATGATGTGGGGTCTAATTTGGTTTAAATATCTAAGCTTATTGTAAGCATGGATCCTAGGTTTCAGTATGTCACTGCATCTTGTGGATCCCATACCTGCTATTGACAGGTGTTGTGTACTTGTCAATGACTCGTTCCATGATTTGCAAATGGTTAATTGGTGCCATGAAAGCCATTTTTATGATTACTCATGTATCAAGTGCATAAGGTTAGATTAAAGTGGCTGTTTGCCTAAAGATGAGTTACCATGTTATTATTTATCCAGTTTTAAATTGATACAACTTCAAATTATATATCTATGTTTTAAGTAAAGTTAGGAATTTTTGTGATCCTTAGCAAAGTGTGAGTAGTATATATGTATGGACTAATCTAGACAGTTTATGATTTTATTGGTTGCTCACTTTCCAATAATATGGGGCACATGTGCGCTTTGTATCCGTAATCCCCCTTGTTTGTATATGGGTAATACGTATTAATTATTTATTATATGAATAATCATGCACAATAAGTTGTGTGTTTTACGATATGTATTTTCTTTAATTTGTATGTATATGTTGTGTATATATCTATCATCATTTAATGAATTACGCATCGTAGTTTAGAGGCATTAATCCAAGCATAATATATATTCATTTCACATATATGTCGTAATGCTCTCTCTCTCTAGACATGACAGTGTGCTTAGCTCTACCTGTAGCTATATCCCCAATCTATCTAGCTTCCCCTTTAGTAATACAAAGGTTGACATTTCTAAATTAAGTTGTTTGTATATATTTCATGTATTCATATTATTGTCAATCCATATGCTATGTATTTCTGTTTATCAATTGTATCCAATTCTGTAACACACCACTGACAGTAAACTGCTTAACTGTAATCGTTCTTCATCTTATTAGGGGTATAATTAAGTTCCAAAAATACTGTCTGATTACAGGCGGAGGAATTAGAAATGAGGTATGGGAACTTATACATGTATGTTTATGTCACTGTATTGTATTTCAGGGTGATCAAATATACAGCTGTAGTTTCTTTGAATGAATAAAGATGATGAAATTTATTAACCAAAGATCTTCACCTACATGAACCCAAACCCATCGCTCCTACCAAAGGATAACGGGATCGGAGACGCACATGACAATTGCGCAAAAGCACTCTTGGACCACTGGATTGTCTCAGTCGATTAGTAACAGAACCATTCCACAGCCAATGGTCTGATCGCTCCTACCAAAGGACGCACAACAGCAAAGCACCTTGGTACCTCAGTGTATAACAGAACCATTCCACAGGTTTCAGTCAAACGTTCGTCTAATCAAAGCTGAAAATAGTACGCAGTTAATCTTTGGTTTAACCATAGTTAACTTCTTTGAGTGGCATTTAGAAGTTGGTGTGATGAACAACGGGGAAAATTCTATGGATGTACTCATTTCCTTTACTATAATGTAAGCGACGTTTTGGTGTAGATTCTAACACCGTTATCAAGCAAGTGATGTACAATACTGCAGGAAAGGCTTATACATACATGAGTAAAGTTTGTACAGTAAGTTGATTGATGTTTACTCAATAGAAATGTTGTATAATGAAGCCAAGTGTCCATGTCATATCACTCCGTGAATAACAATCAATAAATGCATGTTATAAGTATATTATTTAGGCAGTTTCATTGATATATATATGCCGAAAGTCGATGTATAAACCATTCTGTTTGCGATATGTGACTGCCATCGTAACTTATAATACTAGTAGTAGTAGTAGTAGTAAAAGTAGTCTAGTAAAGTAGTAGTAGTAGTAGTAGTAATTTTATTAAATTGTCAGAATCACATAAAACAGTTTAAACATGTGCGTCCATAAATACATGTTTTACGAAGACACCAGCCATACATTAGCTAAGTACGCTATAAATACATTAAAAGTACATTAATATATATATGGAGATAGAAATTTAGGCAGATTGTAGATAAGACATACTGATAACAACAACAGACACTCCTCGATAAAACAACAAAAGAGAATGAAAAAGAATAACAGGGTATTCTTAAAATAATCATGATAAATTAAGTCCAAAAATGAAAATGCATGAAATAGATATACATTGTATATATAAAATGAACA